TTGTTGTATCTATGTTTACAAGCAATAACGGTACAGAATAAATCCGAGATGAAAATAATTCTGGGTTCTTATTTAACTTCGTTTAAACAGACAGACAATACAGCCTCACTCGTTCTTATAATTCTTAATTTACACAAGAAATAGACACTAGATTTACAGTTAATACCCTAGTATTGGTATGACTATTTTATGCATATTAATATCACTACTATACTAGGTGATTTACATTATGACTTTGTTTACATGCCCCGCCCCCACCCATGTAATGCAATTTTTTAAAGTTGATATGAACGAGAAATAAGTCAGTGAATGGTCAAAGATAGCGGGGTCAAGGGGTCAAATATTCTATTTCTTATCTGTTTTCTTGAATAAAGATTCCTACAATAATTTGAGTTATTTGTCAATATTATTTGTCAAAGGTTTCGTTGTAATTTCATGACTGGTGAATAATTTGTAAATGAGAGGAAGAAAGAAATACGTTCTTGGACAACTAGGAGAGAACATGTAGCAAGATACACTCTTTTAATAATAATTAGCAATGCATTGCCAATTCATCAGACAACAGATGTGTAGTGAGAACATTACTCTAGAATCGTAATAACGAAAACATAGTATGATGACAATGTGGTTCTGTTATCCTTACAGCAATGCCGCGACCCACAGAGGATTTATCAAGGACCACCACGATATCTCCAAGTAAGAACAGTCTCCAAACATCCTTATCTCCTGTCGAAAATATTTTACTATCGAAACTTCCTGGTAAGAACAGTCTCCAAACATCCTTATCTCCTGTCGAAAATATTTTACTATCGAAACTTCCTGGTAAGAACAGTCTCCAAACATCCTTATCTCCTGTCGTAAAATATTTTACTATCGAAACCTCCTGGTAAGAACAGTCTCCAAACATCCTTATCTCCTGTCGTAAAATATTTTACTATCGAAACCTCCTGGTAAGAACAGTCTCCAAACATCCTTATCTCCTGTCGTAAAATATTTTACTATCGAAACCTCCTGGTAAGAACAGTCTCCAAACATCCTGATCTCCTGTCGTAAAATATTTCATTGTCGGAACATCCAGGTAAGAACAGTCTCCTAACATCCTTACCCCCTGTTTCATAGGTTCACGAACTGTTAAAATTTGTATGAATAGATTATCAACGGTAAATAGTTTTTCATTCACGAAAATTGGGCCCCTCAAAAATTACTATTTTACGCTTAATAAGGGATTTATTTTCATTACAGAAAAATCATCAAACTTTAATCAAGAATAAATATAAACCCTTTTTTATATCAGATCCATGGCGGCAAAATCGTAATCAAAACACAAAAGCGATAAATCTAGTGCAAAAAAGGAGAGAAAAAAAATGATACTTTACTTTGAATAAGTTCACGTAGACTACAATCTGTATATAATAGATTTTCTATAGGGTAATCGTCTTCTTCTTGATTAAAGGCATCTATTATGTAAATCTAGGTCAATACAGGTAATGTCAGGATCTCAAAATGTAAACCGGGAATATAAAAAAGAAACCAGTATCCAAACTTATACATAATCATGACATATGTAGACAAGGAAATATAGTTAAGATTTCAAACATTAAAGCCAGACTTCGATCATTTTTTTTTATCATATTAACTTGGTTCGCAGCTTTTATCAAACCAAGTTCTAGTCACTTTGATTTTTATATCTTCGTTTGTTATGTAATGAATAATGATATACACCTTAGTATATGGTAATAACACCACACAATGTAGATGAATGTACATTCTGTTATATATAAACTTTATTCATTTTACAACAATTGCGAAACAAGTTATGTCAACTTATACTAATCACTCTTGTTGGCCCGTATGTAAGTGCGCGAGGGGTCTTATTGTGGGAGGAAACCGGAGTACCCGGGGAAAACCCACGTGGTCGGGCAGGTGACCCCTTACCTTTTCACGTCCGGGAATCGAACCCCGGTCGGCTAGGTGAAAGGCGAGTACGTTACCACTGCGCCACCCGACCACCTTATTCTGTTACTTCAATTCACCCTTGGTTTCGTCTGACTAAATATCTATCTTTGCCAGGTCTGTTGAGGACATGCTCCGATCATAGTCATTGTCATTGTATGAAAGGCGTCCCGATTTGTTACGACAACTTCTGTCACTGTCTGTACGCATCCTCTGTTGAAAACTTCGAAAATATGCCGGTAAGTAATGTTCGTCATACCCCAAACTAGGCTTCGATCACAATTACATGAAATAAATGCCCAGTCCTGCAAGAAGAAAGAAAAAAATCGACAACTGCCCAGAAAAAAGTACCAATTAACAAAATGGGCCAAATTCTGATCGATAATTCTTGTGACCCTGCAGTAAAGTAACCATTGAATATTATCCTAAATGCACGTGCTTGTCATTTTAATCATGTTTAACTTACCAATGAAATAGTATCCAACGTTCCCATCATTGTCTTATAACATTTACCATATATATATAAAGTATATCTAAATCAGTGTCCAATATGGACGTGTACCCTCTACATACCCGGATGTTCACCGCTGGTTTTGTCTTTATATATCCCATACTCTATCATAACTGGGAGGGGGGATCTTCCCATTATTGCGACTGACGATTACACGAACGACACATCAGTGAATGAAAACATTAAACACAATCATATATAGTGAAAGCCAAAACAAAGAATAAAACAGCACAGCTGTTTCGTCTACCTAGGCCAATGTGCCTAAATATCGAAACCAAAAAGACTACTGAGAGAAATCTGAAGAAATAGGGAGATATTTCAAAACCTAAACGAGGACGAGCTCTAGTCCAACAATTCAATAAATTTAGCAATGTCCATTTATCTGATAATGTTAAATGAACGTCAAGAACAGTCCGATCTGTGTCACTATTTGAATGAATTAAAAAATGAATTAAAACGTGGCGTGAAGGTTTCGGCAAAATTCAGAGACTAAACGTCCATTAGCATTATCTACAATCTGCCATCTCAAAGATAGTTAAAACATTGATTAAAAACTCTTTCTATTTCAGACCAATGGTACAGAGACACTGAATGAAACCCAGCAAAGTGACAATCCACAGTGATGTCGGCAGTTGTTAAATTCCATCACGTGCCATGTGCAATCAAAACAAATGTTTGGAAATTTTGCTGTGCGATCCCTGACTAACTTAAATTACCAATGATTTTTCTATGTCGTTCATTTGTTTTAAATTGTCTTTTTGTGTGAATTTTTTTTTTTGTGATAAAGTTCATCTTTTACATATATTTAATAATTGTTTTTATCCTTACAAATCCATTGCGTTTGTAAACAGCAATATATGTAACATATATATGACAGTTGTCATATCTGCTGTTCACATTGACAATTTAATGAATCCAAATTCCCCATATAGAAAGGAAAAAGTCATCTGAAAGTCCACGTAGGCTCTCAATTTATACTCCAAATTCCTCATGCACATCCGCCTTCTAACACACGAACTGTCAGAGGTTTTGTTTGTGTAGTACTGTAAAGTTCCAAAATTTCCGTACGTGGAGCTAAATCTCATAGATTTTTAGAATAGCGCGAACACTTAATTTCATGGATAAATATAGTTCAATCAATCTATTTATACAAATTTTAGCAGTTTGTGGACATTTGAATTCGTGGAATAGGTGTAGTTTGTGGACATTTGAATTCGTGGAATAGGTGTAGTTTGTGGACATTTGAATTCGTGGAATAGGTGTAGTTTGTGGACATTTGAATTCGTGGAATAGGTGTAGTTTGTGGACATTTTAATTCGTGGAATAGGTGTAATCACGCATTTGAATTCAAAGATTTGTGGACATTTGAATCCCAAATGAAAATTACATTTGATTTTACATTTGAATTCCTGGAACGTGGAATAAGTGTAATCACGCATTCAAAGATGAATCCCAGAACGCCAACTCACTCGTCACCTACACAACAATATATGTAAGTGTCTCAGGTTCACGTGGATAACTCACAAAATATGTCATTAAATCTGTCCATGACAATACAATGCGATGATAATTTCAGTCATCTACCAATGAAAGCTGGAAGAGGGGGAGAGGTGTCTAATTAGTCTTTTTGTCAGCCCGTCTGTTTGACGGAATTTGATTTTCAATATTTGTGTTGGTAGAAGAGGGTGCCAGAAAAATTGAATTTTCAGCTGAAATAAGTTTCTCAAAGTTCATCGTACAAACATAATATATTGAGAGTTGTTATATTAAAGTCTGTTACAAAGTAACTGTATACCTTTCATCTCCCTAACGTTTTTACTAAAGGGCTACATTCCAACATATGAAGTAAAAAAATACGTGGAGATCGGAGGGTAAACAAACACCAAAATGTCAACAAAACAGTTTTAAACTAAGGTATTTAACCTATATCACAATTTGAACGAATTAAATATCCATGGAGTTCCTAAATTTTAAAAAAGAACACGACGATGCTTATCAGAAATATAACTTCCACGTGATGTTACCCTGTCTTGTTTGATTTGTCGTGTTATCAATTAAATCCCAGCGTTGTTAAAATGTTCATATAAAATTTCTATGAGACTGAATTATGTTGTCTAACCCAGGTAATAAACCTAGCAAATATTAAACACAATTGCAGATGCATAAATCCACACCTGAAAAGCAAACAAACAAAACGAGCTCAAATAAAATAAATAATATTCAAGAATACTTTAGCAACAGTTCAATGTTCAATGTAAGGGCGACACCAAAGATACATCACGGTATCATCACAGATTTAGGATTAAGACTCTTTAAGCGTAACTTAAAATGTTATAAATGTTAAAATTTACATATTTGTTTTGGCCTTATTTAACAATAGTCTCTGTCAAATCCACGATCTTGATCGACCCCGAAATCGACAAGGAACTTAAATATTTTCGGTATTACTAATTTATATTGTTATTAACCCAAGCAACTCCTAACCTTTGTCACGTTTTCCCTGCAATAACAAACTCATCATTCTTCTTCCATAGTTTGAAACTTTATTAAAGTTTACATTCATATCAATTACACTTTATATAGATTGTACAAAAGTCACACTAGTGAATAGCACCTTTTCATGATTTAGAGTTTGATACTGTAGATTCAAACAATGAATAAACTGCATCACACAGCTGTTTCATCCTTCTAGGACTCGTCAGTGATGCTAAGTGCCTAAAGTTTGAAGTCTTGGAGGCGACTAAAGAAAATCCAAAGTGATCAAAGAAAAGGCAAAATCTAGACAGGGAGATGCAGCAGCCCTATAATTAAATAACTTTTCTCAATTTCCATACATCAGATAATTTTAGAATAACGTCAAGTACATGTGTACTTTGTGAACAGTGAATTATTGTATAAGCTGTTTTACTAGTCTATATTTGCAATGTAACATTTCATTAAAATTTTCTGTCATGTACATTATCAAAAAGAAGAACGGAGACAGCCGAGTCGAACAACAAAAAATCCATGACTTCCTACTAGGAAAAACAATCTTGATTCAAATGGGTTTACAAAAAAATATTCACATCACTGGAAATATCGATACTTTTGCTTTAAAAATTTGCTGTGTGCTCCCTAAGATATGCTGGGTGCCCCAGTGTTCTTGAATTTGAAGTTATGTTGACAGGCTAGTTTTTTACTCTTATTTTATTGAACAAACTGATTGATCAAAGTACATATAAACTAGCTTACAAGTGTTGATTTAATCTTAAGAGCAAAAGTTCGGGTCCACGTCACCACATTATACGTATTCATTTCCCCCCGGATGTTATGTTAACTGAAAAGATACAGGTGTGATTTGGAAAGAGTTATCGAACATTAAATACGTATCCAATATACTCCCACTTATACACAGCCTCTTCGCACAAAAGACACATAAGTGAAGATCACATTTAAATAAAGTATTGGAAAGGCTTTTGTTTATTTGGTTACACTCTTGCATCAGCCTAGACATGCATATAGTTCAGGCCAATTAAGCAATGGATTTCATAGATTAGAAACCATTCTATAAAAAACCAAATGTATGTGTTTTTTATGAATCTGATCCACTATTCAAAATTATTCATGCATACCATCACTAAAACTTTGTGCATCACTGTAACCTTGTTCGCTAGGATACATTTGCAGACAATGGTAAATCGTTTAATCTGATCTCCGGGATGTTTTGTCCCACTACTGCCGATCCGGTTAGGCTTCTACGGTCGCCATTGTTATCAGGAACTTGAAGAGTCAGACATGTGGAATCGCCGTTATATTCTTCAAACTTTGGCGTTATTTCTAACAAAATTTGTGATCCACTCAAACTCATACCGAGGCTGCCAATCCCTGGAGACGGCATTGAGAAACCTTCCGAATCCATGCGGATTACCTCCGCTTTGATACCGTTAACCCGTCGTACGGTCTCGCGGACGTCCTGGTTGCTAACGGAGTATGCTGAAACTGGAAAATAAAGAAATTTGTTAATATTGTGTTCGTTACAGGAATCACACAAACAATGTCAATCTAATTAATCACTGTATTAAATATCGATTTTTAATTACATTAGTCTAAATTCCTTGATTGATTATGTACCTCTGGCTAGGTGATACGAAAGGCCAATAGTGCGTTGTATAGTGTCTGGATGATCAATCCCAATGTGTGTATTTACCAATATTTACTCACGGCAATTAAGCTGACAGGACATACTTATACTGGTTATTTTATACACGTTGTTTGAATGTGATGTGTACGACATCTAGATATAATATGACATGATATATGTATTTCAAAATAATAACGAAAACCCCTATTTATTCATCTGCTCTTGAAACTACAAACATGCATTTGTAGTCATTGCGTCGTCAACAACGCCCACGTGACGTCACCTACTGCTTCCGGTATATTATGGAAGTGAAATGTTTAATAAGGTTCAATGTTTTTATGAAACTACGCGGGTATAAAATGGAAATGTAAGGAATTTTATTTATTTTCAGTGCATGCATCGAAGTCGGTAAACATTTTAGGACAAATTAGGATAATGGAATGTCACGTGACACCAGTCAACCATTTCAACAAACAAACGAAGGGTATTACAACGTTCCCACATATATGGCTGCCTTACATGGAATGGCACACCGGATATTATGTATTGTAAGAGCCTAGTTGGGTTTTATTTTTCAAATTTTCATGCTTGAATGCATGTGTTCGATATAGATGAATATTACTGAATTCAATCCTTTGAGTTTGCTATGGCGAATGCATGTTTCAATTCGACATATGCTCACGTATTGTGATGATAAAAAACACTCACAAGAAAATACTGACAAGAAAACAAAATCGATATCCAAAATCAAAATTGATTAAATGAGGGCAAAACATGAACAATGGGAAACTTTACAGGCAAAATAGTACAAGGAAAATAAGACGAAATGTTTCGGAATGGTATGAATCTTCTGCACAATCTACAGCAAAGATTTTACAAATCGTCCTGAAATCAATATTTCGTCTTGTTTAGAATATGTTTTGAAGTGAAACTTCATATTTCAATAATTTTTTGTGTCATGGCTCTACTCACATACCATCCCCATTTCTCGACTTCAGCACCATTATACCATTTAAATGTGATTTTACTAAGTTTATATAGATGTTCTTGTATTGTGTCTTTACTCTACTCTAACATATAATCACAGATATATGGAGGTTTCAGCCCTTACCTGGTCGTGTGTGAACATTACTATAGTTGCTATCCCTGTCACCAAGGTCGTGACTCATGGACGCTCGACTCATAACCTTTTCACGTGTGTTTTTTGTGGGTTTAAACAACACGATGTAGATCTTTCTCAGAAAGAGGAGTGACAATATCACGGTACCATTAACAAACAACGACATAGTTAGAGACGCCACTCTTAGGGACGAGTTTCTCGTGGAAAAGTACGTAGGAATAAATGCGATCCAAATGATGACTGTTGAAGATGAACAAAATGTGATAAATTTGGTTTCGTTAAATCCATCTGGAGTCTTTCTGGTTTTAATAGCGTACACAATGCATATGAACATAAGTAGGAAGGGGTATATCAGTACTCCAAGGTAGGAAAAATCCATACTATCATGACATACCAAAACATTGTGGATTTCGTCATCACTTATGTAGTCCATACTTACTGATTTAGGCGGATCAAATATCAACCACACCACGATGGCTACTAACTCTATCAGACAAAGTAACACTGTTATTAATAGTGAAGATTTGGAGCTTGTAAATCTCTTCATCTTCACACGATTTGCATTGTCTTTCATTGAGAATATTCTGTATATTCTGTTAGTCTTTATCAAAATGGTTGCGTAACACACTGTATAACAGATTCCAAGTAAAGTACGGCGGAAACCGCAAATCACAGCGGAAGGTTTGGCAAGAAATATATAGATTGATGCGTAGGACAACACTATCCCAGCCAATAAGAAAAAGCTGAGTTCTATACCGGAAGCCTTTATGATGGGGGTCGAACGGAACCGGATGTAGATTATAAACACTAACACACACAATAATATCCCGATGCTGGAAAACACACATGCGATAATGCCGATGGAATCACTGAAAGACACATACTCCATCGGAAGGGGAGTGCACGCATTCCGGAAGTTGTTTGGTGATGTGCTACGAGCACAGGTTTCACAAGTAAATTCGTCAGATACATACTGGTCTTTTGTACATTCTTTGCAGTACCAGCAGCACGGACGACTGGCCAGAACACGTCTCTCCTGACCGACGTCACAGCTGGTCGAACAGACAGACGTGTTGTAAGATAGATTCTGGATATCGAACTGGTACAAACCATCCAGACCTACAGAAAATATAAAAAATACAATCTGTAGAAAATGGATGTTGGTTAAGTGTAAACTTCGCGGGAAGTAGTGCAATCCAACAAGTTTAAAACATTCCTGTCCCAACAGGGATCATATCAGGGTCTTAAACTCGATCAGCCCGGGCCACAACAACTAACCTAAGAAACAAACTCTGTCAGCTGAGACTGCGAGACAATAAATTGCTATATAGACGTCACACTGGCAAGACCGTTTAACCCTTGTGATTCGGCATTAACTTCTCTATCCGATACCTTAACAAGCAAAGACAGATATGGTATCCCACCAATGTCTGTCTTATCACTGCAATAACCTTGAATGGCACACGTTATTGAGATAACTGTAGATGAGGCTAGTAAGAAGAGTTTTTCCGTGGTGCATCCGTTCCCGATGTCAAAGCTGCAGGCCAAACAGAGGTAACAGCGCAAACGACATATAAAACAATGACATGGAAGGACCAGTCACAACCACGTTAAAACAAAATTAGTAACCTGCATCCGATTTACAACATTTAGAGTAGACATAATTACGAAGTGTCGCTAAATGTGGTCAATGCGTAATAGAATTATGGGTCAAAATATGTACGCTAGTCATTGCATTCATGATTTGGTAGGAAATTACTTTACCAAAGAATTCTACGGTAACGCAGTGTAACAAGAATTTGTGCATTATGATAATGGATGTTAAAAACAGAAAATGTTTAGATTTACTGATGTACCGTAAAATCCTACATTTTCGAGGGGACTTAAATTTCGTGGTTTTACAAACATGAACAATTTTTCATGGACCTGATAAAAGCAATTAGTTCTATAATCAATGTTTAGTCATTTATGTTTATCGTTTCGTGAACAAGTTTATCTGTGGATTAAGAATATACACAAATTCAACGAAAAAACCTCCAGAAGAAAAGATTTCATAATAAACAAACAGAACATTACAGAAGAAAACACTTCTTAACACAGTAACAATAACGCTGGTATTCACATCATATCCCTCACAGTACAGAAACAACTCGTAAGAAGCAATCTGATATTTATTACGTGATTTGGTTATAAGGAAGTACAAAATGTACACACAAATCTATTTCGATATCCGCTTATATGATACCATCATTATTATGTTCTGATGTAGGTGATACAAGAGGTTAATGCTAGAACATTACCAGTGTAGTTTCCGACTTCCTGCCACTGAAACCGGTCGCCATCCTTTCTGTATATCATGATGCTGTACCGCGGAGGTCCATCAGTACCGTTGATAAAGTGGAACGGGAAACCTAGCGGATCTGTACAAAGTCCACACAATTGTAAACAGGAAAATTTACAGAATGATTCACTCACCTCATAACATGGCCTTGTATAAAAGTCTGACAATAGCGTTATAGCTCAACCAAAAACACACAAAAAGTCATTAAGGCAAACAAATGATGGACAAAATGGTCTTAACTGAAACGACTTTAACATACTGTAAAATCCTAAATTTTCGCCGCGGTTTTATTTCTGTTGATTTTGTTGGAACTCTCAATCAACCAATGTCCAAGAACGGTTAAATTTGCACATTGTACATTTACTTTAATTAATGTTTGTTCATAAAATCAAATGCCCTCCAAATAGATCCTTTTTGAAAAACCACGAAAATTGAGTCCCACGGAAATATATGATTTGACAATAACTAAGTAGCCATCATGAATTTTGAATATGTTACACTTTCGAGACTTGTTATGTTGCTATAAAATTTCAAGTGTAGACTGCAGGTCAGTACAGTAGTAACATGTGTTTCAATACCTATGGCTCAGAATTATATTTGTTGAGACTGTCCTTCGTATTAAGTAGGTACAAATATGTACCAAAGTCGCTAATAGCTCATCCAAAACACGAAATCTACATTCTATTGGGCAACCATAGCCATGGCCACGATGTGATTGTCTATTAAACTCTCAGTATACTGTAAAGACAAGGAAAGTCATTATATTTTGACTGCACTTTTGAGAGAGACGAATGGGGATATAGGGCCATCGTCAAATTTCATAAACTTCATAAAGTGATCAGCCAATCTCTTGCAAATTAAAGGGTCTTTAAGGGTTTATGCAATTATCCAAATGATTTAATTGTATAAACGTTGATGCGGGCTTTTTTTCATAAAGGGAAGACATATGAATACCATAAGACGAATGTACTTTTGTTGATGTTACTATAAAGAAAGAAGATGTTCAGTATCACCATTATTTACCTGTGAACTCGATGTTATCTAGAGCTGTTAGGAGAGCCTCCCCCGACAATTTCGCCTCCATATTAGGACATATTCCACGATAATACAGTCCACACGAGTCCAGATGGATCTGATGAAGAGCGTTAGCGAAGGCTAAGATTGCATCACGAACGTAATATAGAGACTGAAGCTGTTCGTACCCTAAATGTGAAAAAATATACATTGTTGACTGAAATACATATGTAAGGGTAACATTATTTGACAATAGGCTTGTATATTCATGGACACTACAGCCTTTCTATATCACACTGCATGCCTTAGTTAGCGATAAGTGACGCAGGGTTATCATTGGTGTCTTCTACAGGTAAGGACTTATAACTTGTGACGACAATACTGACAACTTACTAGCATCAATCATAACAAAAACAATATTTTAACTAAAGCGATGTTAAACGTATACTGACATTGTCCTTGTATCGATTACACAACTTAGTTACCGTTAGCAGCACTAATTCGTTCCTTCCCCGTGCATGAACGTGAGGTTTTGGCTTTGCCAGGGAATTTACAGTTGAAATAGGACTCCCAATACTCTCGGAACCATGGATTCCAGGTGTTCGTTGCCGGAGTTAAACTGAAATGTTAAGATATCTCTCTAGTTAAGAAGTTTAGTTATTAAAGGATAAATTATGTCTCATAACAATGATGATTTTGAAAGCCATTGTTATACACACCTGGTGAAGTATTCGTCGAATCCCTCCAGTTTTCTGGCCAATGGTTGCACAGCTATTGCTCCTCCTACTACCTTTTGTATATCCTCATCGAATTGACGTCCTGCCCATGCGTCAACACCTATCCACCGAACAGTACCGCCCAGCGACTTCCGGTCCACCGCTTGGAACAGCGCCTTGGCCAGACCGTAATGAGTGATAAGAATCACAACAACTTTGCCTGAAATTTCCGTATACAATCTACCTATAGTTTTCGTTTTAGTGTTTGTGTCACTACGTCAGCTTTATGTATCAATGGATAGTAGACAATGAAGGACCTTCGTGCTCCTATGTTTATAAATCTATGGTGGATCCATATCATTTAGTTACCTACCTTGTGTGTTTTTGACTTGGGAAATTCTGCGTGCTATCCTTTCTAGTTCGTCATCAAGTCCTACTTTCAAAGACTTGATCTTTTCTGTAAGACCAAAGCAAATGCCTTCTTCCTGTGCGAGACGTTTCGTCTCGAAGTACAAATTCGCACCGTAAGTTGTCTGTTCATACAGGGCAACAACATACCACCATTCCAAGTTGCTAAAACATTAACAATATCATCTGCGAGTTAACAAAATAAGCTGCAATATATCAAGTAAATAATTTCCGGAATCGCATGGGTTTTTTACCAGAATTTGTCCAAAGTTTCCTGCCTATTGTAAACTTCTTGCTACTTGCTATCAAAAACTATTTTACTGTCCTATATGGGATTGTGCTTGTCACAGTTTGCCGGTGTCCCCTAGTGTTTGTCACAGTTTGCCAGTATCCCTTAGTGTCTGTCACAGTTTGCCGGTGTCCCCTGGTGTTTGTCACAGTTTGCCAGTATCCCTTAGTGTCTGTCACAGTTTGCCGGTGTCCCCTAGTGTTTGTCACAGTTTGCCGGTGTCCCCTAGTGTTTGTCACAGTTTGCCAGTATCCCTTAGTGTCTGTCACAGTTTGCCGGTGTCCCCTAGTGTTTGTCACAGTTTGCCAGTATTCATTAGTGTCTGTCACAGTTTGCCAGTATTCATTAGTGTCTGTCACAGTTTGCCAGTATTCATTAGTGTCTGTCACAGTTTGCCAGTATCCCTTAGTGTCTGTCACAGTTTGCCGGCGTCCCCTAGTGTTTGTCACAGTTTGCCAGTATCCCTTAGTGTCTGTCACAGTTTTAGTGTCTGTCACAGTTTGCCGGTGTCCCCTAGTGTTTGTCACAGTTTGCCAGTATCCCTTAGTGTCTGTCACAGTTTGCCAGTATCCATTAGTGTCTGTCACAGTTTGCCAGTATCCATTAGTGTCTGTCACAGTTTGCCAGTATCCCTTAGTGTCTGTCACAGTTTGCCGGTGTCCCCTAGTGTTTGTCACAGTTTGCCAGTATCCCCTAGTGTCTGACACAGTTTGCCGGTATCCATTAGTGTTTGTCACAGTTTGCTGGTGTCCCTTAGTGTCTGTCTGTCACAGTTTGCCGGTGTCCCCTAGTGTTTGTCACAGTTTGCCAGTATCCATTAGTGTTTGTCACAGTTTGCCAGTATCCATTAGTGTTTGTCACAGTTTGCCGGTGTCCCCTAGTGTTTGTCACAGTTTGCCATTATCCATTAGTGTTTGTCACAGTTTGCCAGTATCCATTAGTGTTTGTCACAGTTTGCCAGTATCCATTAGTGTTTGTCATAGTTTGCCAGTATCCATTAGTGTCTGTCACAGTTTGCCAGTATCCATTAGTGTTTGTCACAGTTTGCCGGTGTCTCCTAGTGTTTGTCACAGTTTGCCGGTGTCCCCTAGTGAATGTCACAGTTTGCCGGTGTTCCCTAGTGTATGTCACAGTTTGCCGGTGTCCCCTAGTGTGTGTCCCAGTTTGCCGGTGTCCCCTAGTGTATGTCACAGTTTGCCGGTGTCCCCTAGTGTCTGTCACAGTTTGCCGGTGTCCCTTAGTGTCTGTCACAGTTTACCAGTAACCATTAGTGTCTGTCACAGTTTGCCGGTAACCCTGACAGTTTTTATTACAATTTGCCAGCACAAACTAATTCTTAAAGGACTCGTGCAAGTCTCTAATTTTTTAAAGTATCGTCCTAGGTTGAGTTCTGCTGACATGTTGATTCTTTGCTTTGTTGATTTATCAGTTTTTATTGACATGATTCCTAGACTTTTATAATTCTCTGGCCTGTATGTCTCATATAATTCACATTTTGCAAGCTGTCATTGTTATTTTTACGTCTTCCTGATGTCATTTTATTTCGAGTTCAACACATCATCGTCCATGATATGATATTACAACTGATTTCTGACTGGCGCTGCCAATCACGAAAGAACATTCCAGGGTACATTTCAATAGTGACATGCACGAAAAATATTACATGGGCGAGTTTATTGGATAAGAGTTGGATTATGTGATCAATAACATTTCGAATAATAATCAAAATAAAAATACATTTTAAAAATTAAAATGTAAAATTTCTTCAAAATATTAAGATAGATTGTTATCTCAAGATTATAAGTCATAATAACAAAATGAGTGCCCATGAGAAGTAAAACACTTAATCTTTATCATGAATGGTATTTCGTTTAAAATAAGAAAAATGTAAGGATGGGTTAATACCTACACAAGGATGTTGACAATCGCTCGGGCCTGGAAGGCGTCGGAGGGTACAGTTCTCTTAAAGTAAGAAAATCTGTCCTGATCACTAAGTTCTGGACTGGTGGACCAATAACTGATCTACAACAACAGACATAGTTCGTTGATGGAAAATGAAACAAGATAGTCATGTGGCTATAACATCACTTTTATAGTATATTTCACTGATCAATGATGATCTCGTGTTTTCTTTAGGACCCACTGGTCCCTTTATATGACACGACCATGAATTTGTGATAGAGGCTTCTGTTTTATATCATCACAATTGATGACTATATTATGGGTTTGATAACGGTGGTTTCTACATCCGAACTCCTGTCAAATGCTAATTTATAGTGTTCCATTAATCATAAAGTGTTCTGTCAATCATAAAGTGTTCTGTCAATCATAAAGTGTTCTGTCAATCATAAAGTGTTCTGTCAATCATAAAGTGTTCTGTCAATCATAAAGTGTTCTGTTAATCATCAAGTGTTCTGTCAATCATAAAGTGTTCTGTCAATCATAAAGTGTTCTGTCAATCATAAAGTGTTCTGTTAATCATCAAGTGTTCTGTCAATCATAAAGTGTTCTGTTAATCATAAAGTGTTCTGTCAATCATAAAGTGTTCTGTCAATCATAAAGTGTTCTGTCAATCATAAAGTGTTCATTTATCATGAAGTGTTCTGTTAATCATCAAGTGTTCATTAATCATAAAGTGTTCTGTCAATCATAAAGTGTTCTGTCAATCATAAAGTGTTCATTTATCATGAAGTGTTCTGTTAATCATCAAGTGTTCATTAATCATAAAGTGTTCATTTATCATGAAGTGTTCATTTATCATAAAGTGTTCTGTTAATCATCAAGTGTTCATTAATTATGAAGTGTTCATTTATCATGAAGTGTTCATTAATCATAAAGTGTTCTGTTAATCATGAAGTGTTCTGTCAATCATAAAGTGTTCTGTTAATCATGAAGTGTTCTGTCAATCATAAAGTGTTCTGTTAGTCATGAAGTGTTCATTTATCATGAAGTGTTCATTAATCATAAAGTGTTCTGTTAGTCATGAAGTGTTCATTAATCTTTAAGTGTTCATTAATCATAAAGTGTTCTGTTAATCATAAAGTGTTCATTAATCTTGAAGTGTTCATTAATTATGAAGTGTTCATTAATCATAAAGTGTTCATTAATCAAGAAGTGTTCAATAATCAGAAAATGTTCCATTGATTATAAAATGTTCCACTGTTTTGGATGACATATAAAATTTGTGTTCTGAACACAAATGGTAGTTGAGATTGTACAAAAGACACAAAAATAAACTGTACCTTTTAATACAAAAGTAGATAAGATACACTGGATCCAGACAATGGATTAAATTTACATCGTACCACTGTTTCGTGCTTTTAGAACTCGTCAATGATGCTAAGGGTCAAAATTTTTAACTTACGAGACGACTGAGGAAAATCTAAATGATCGAAAGAAAATTCACAGAAAAGTCTCGTTAGGGAGGTGCGCTAGCCCCATAATTCAGTAAGTTTCGTAAATTTAATTTCCCTGTTAATTTTGGATGAAAACCTATAATTCGTGTAGTGCGGTGAAAAATACCATGACTATAATCTTGATTTGTATCAGAGAAATGATCTGAATAATGATTTAACTCACCTGCGGAACTTTGAAAAGTCGCAAGAAACTGGCTACTGCTATAGACACCTGGCTAAAGGCGGCTCCCACTACCCCGACTGCCCTGTTGCTCATGCGCACTGGGCCGGGGGAAGAGTTACGGTAAGGGAGGCTACCATCTTGACAAACATAACCATCTTCTTTCGGGTCAGGCTCAAAACTATTCCCATCTATGCTGACAAATTCCAACGTGCTCTCCAAGGCCACTGTATCCGATTCACATGTGTCCATGGCAACTAGACCGATTCTTAGGTTTGGATATTTGTTATTAATTTGTTTTAAGCTCCAGACGGCTGTCTCCAGAGTTTGAATACCATCTTGTTCCTGGATATCGCCACATTGACCATCGTCTGTTCCTCTGTGAACCGGAAATAAACCACCCAAGATGACGTCACCACTGACGTTTGCTCTCAACATTCCATGGACTGGGTACACCATCACACACAAAGCCATGAACACCTCAAACTTTATTTTACATGTCCACATTGCCGTAATTTTCTTGTGTCGATCAGTTAAGGGAATATTCCAATGGTCCAATCACAAGAATTGACCTGCTTCAAATCAACATACTCTTCGTGCATTTGCATATTATTATTGTTTTTTGTTTATGATGAATATGTAGGCCATTATAAACGTTCTAACCTTATGACGAAAAGATTTGTATCAGATCTACAGGACGATATCCGAATCCCTTTCGGAATCAGACTAAGCATGCCCAACAAATGATATGGTGTGGTGGTGACCGACTTCGAAAGGTAAACACCCCAACATCAGGTTTCGCCTATTTCACTGGGGAATTGATGTCTGATGAAAAAGATCAACACAATTTTACAATATATTTAGACTGATCATACGCATTAGACAAAACTGCACCACATCTTTATCTAAAATAGTACTGGCTAGGACTGCTTTTTACTTGACAGTATTTTAGCCTGGTATTGATAATTACTGTAACTGAAGGGTATATCAGTTATATTGTATAGACAAAAATGACAACGCTCTATAATCTTCATAGCAGGACAATTTACACTGTCACGCGGGTGTATACATCATAAACTCATTTAAGTAGGGGGTGGATGTTATTGCCCAAATTAGGACAACAATTATCCTGGTCGGACGACTCGCGGGTATCTACATCATCAACTCATTTAAGTAGGGGTGGATGTTATTGCCCAAATTAGGACAACAATTATCCTGTTAGGACGACTCGCGGGTATCTACATCATCAACTCATTTAAGTAGGGGTGGATGTTATTGCCCAAATTAGGACAACAATTATCCTGTTAGGACGACTCGCGGGTATCTACATCATCAACTCATTTAAGTAGGGGTGGATGTTATTGCCCAAATTAGGACAACAATTATCCTGTTAGGACGACTCGCGGGTATCTACTCAACGTAGTTACTTTATAATAGAATTAGGTAGTACTAACCCTGTATAGGACGATAGTTATGGATTTAGGACGACTCGTGGACATGTAAGTACCCTTCTATTTTAAGTAGTACTGGATACTAATTACCCCGAACAGGACAACAATTGCTCAGAAGGATGTCATTTTTTGTGTTATAAACCAGACATTTCTTGATATACTACGAGATAGTATGTACTTGGTTCTAAAGTGTACACAACAGGGATACTCTTATTTATAACGTCATACCTGTTTATACTGGTTTAATGCGGTGTACACAACAGGGATACTCTTATTTATAACGTCATACCTGTTTATACTGGTTTAATGCGGTGTACACAACAGGGATGCTTTTATTTATAACGTCATACCTGTTTATACTGGTTTAATGCGGTGTACACAGCAGGGATGCTCTTATTTATAACGTCATATCTGGTTAACTGGACTGGTTTAATGCGGTGTACACAACAGGGGTGCTCTTATTTATAACGTCATACCTGTTTATACTGGTTTAATGCGGTGTACACAGCAGGGATGCGGTGTACACAGCAGGGATGCTCTTATTTATAACGTCATACCTGTTTATACTGGTTTAATGCGGTGTACACAACAGGGATACTCTTATTCATAACGTCATACCTGTTTATACTGGTTTAATGCGGTGTACACAACAGGGATACTCTTATTTATAACGTCATACCTGTTTATACTGGTTTAATGCGGTGTACACAGCAGGGATACTCTTATTTATAACGTCATACCTGTTTATACTGGTTTAATGCGGTGTACACAACAGGGATACTCTTATTCATAACGTCATACCTGTTTATACTGGTTTAATGCGGTGTACACAGCAGGGATACTCTTATTTATAACGTCATACCTGTTTACAATGCGGTGTACACAATTGCTCAGATAGGATGTCATTTTTTGTGTTATAAACGTCATACCTGTTTATATACGGTGTACACAACAGGGGTGCTCTTATTTATAACGTCATACCTGTTTATACTGGACTGGTTTAATGCGGTGTACACAACAGGGGTGCTCTTATTTATAACGTCATACCTGTTTATACTGGACTGGTTTAATGCGGTGTACACAACAGGGGTGCTCTTATTTATAACGTCATACCTGTTTATACTGGTTTAATGCGGTGTACACAACAGGGATACTCTTATTTATAACGTCATACCTGTTTATACTGGTTTAATGCGGTGTACACAACAGGGATACTCTTATTTATAACGTCATACCTGTTTATACTGGTTTAATGCGGTGTACACAGCAGGGATGCTCTTATTTATAACGTCATATCTGGTTAACTGGACTGGTTTAATGCGGTGTACACAGCAGGGATACTCTTATTTATAACGTCATATCTGGTTAACTGGACTGGTTTAATGCGGTGTACACAGCAGGGGTACTCTTATTTATAACGTCATACCTGTTTATACTGGACTGGTTTAATGCGGTGTACACAACAGGGGTGCTCTTATTTATAACGTCATACCTGTTTATACTGGTTTAATGCGGTGTACACAGCAGGGATGCTCTTATTTATAACGTCATACCTGTTTATACTGGTTTAATGCGGTGTACACAGCAGGGATGCTCTTATTTATAACGTCATACCTGTTTATACTGGTTTAATGCGGTGTAATCTTAGTGCCACCGTCAATTACCTGGCATGGTGATATTTTCGTTAAGATTTTGATTGTTGTTTGCTATGAGTTGTTACTAAGTACAGTGTACACTTTCTAGTTTTTGTTTAAAACAACATGGCGCCTGGACGTAGCATCAGTATGGTGTCACACACTAACAAAAACGATTTTTTTTGTAAGAAAATTAATGAATTTTGCCGAAATTTACTTATTCATTTATTTGTCTTGTGTTTTAGAAATTTTTATACAAGTCTATCAAAAACTTGCTTGCTTTCATCGAATTGTAGATATCATACCACGAAAATATCCTAATAATCCAAAATGTCTTCAATATATCAGAAAATAGCTTAAGTGTCCTAAAAACATAGTTAACGAGAAGTGAAAAACATATATAAAAAAATCTTATTACTCGAAGTTTTGTTTGTTACAACAAACCTTCATAACAATACGGTTAATTGATTAAGTGTCTCCAGCGACAAGTAGATTAACAGACCACTATACCAAGTTTCTCTAACTTAACTAGATAATCAGCTCTACCACGTGACATGAAAATAAATCAATAAAAAACTATAAAAGAGAAACATGAAGATGTGTTTGTAAATCAACAACTGACTTTTCAACTCAAGGTATTAAATACGTGTGTATTTCTGATCTCACTAAACTTACGTATCTCAGTAAACATGGGTACAGAATCTACGTATAAAATACATGTGTATATCTAATCACACTTACCTTTTGTATCCGTGTAGATGTCATCCATAGCCATGGTGTAACCACTGACATGGGTCCAGGGCGTGTTACAAGGAATGTTCATGGATGTTTTGATGTTGATTAAATGAAACTGGATACATAAATTAAATCGACGTCAGTTCTGACTGTCACCAATACATTATCATCCGATTTCAGTCAAAACACGCTTGTATCACCACTATCTGACGAGCTAAGGTGAGCACCAATGTTTATAGTCACAGTTTCATTTACAACTTCTTGGTAAAATCATTAGAACTACACCTCATTAAAATACTTATTGAACTTCAGACTAAAGTTTTATATCTGTATCTTAGCATGTAATACTTCTGTGCCGTGGTGTCTACTGACCTCAGACACTCTCCCCACTAAACCCAGGTTATAACATGTGATTAATTACCAACACATTCAATGATGATGGACCATCGATTGCTCAGATTAATGGATGGAAATTATTGATGAAGTGCTTTAACGTACCTGAGTTGTGGGTGTCGTCAGTGTCCTGAAGGATTAACGGACACAATACCTGGCTAATAACTAACCAGTATGTTATAAAACACCGGGATAATTAGTGTGTCAGGAGGAATCGCCACAGTCAATCTCTAGTCAAACACTGAGATATCCCGAACACTGAGATATCCCGAACACTGAGATATCCCAAACACTGATATATCCAAAACACCGAGTATTACAAACACTGAGATATCCCAAACACTGATATATCCAAAACACCGAGTATTACAAACACTGAGATATCCCAAACACTGATATATCCCGAACACAGAGATATCCCAAACACTGATATATCCCAAACACTCTGTTTATATCCGTTGACGTATCTGAAATGAGAAAAAAAAACTTAATTTACCAACACATAACGGACGATAATAGCATGAACAAGAACTAAAATATTGACATGTCTATTAAGTTAAAGCTCAAATTCAAAACACGATGGAATTATTGCAAAATACGGTCGAAGGAAAATTTTACACGGAGACCACTGAAAAACGATACGGAGAAAAATACCAAGTGTTTAAAGATAAAGTCACATGCTTCATCGGCGATCTTCGTCACGTGTACTCCATCAGGTCACCAAGTATTACCGACAGGAATGTTAATTACTCAAAAGTAAAGCTAGGAAAGTGTCAGACATTTACTGTTCAGTGCAGCATTAGAAAAAAACTTATCAGAAATCGTTTTAAAAAAATATTCAACAACACTTATCAAAAACTTATCTTTTGGTTGCTGATAAGGATTTTAAAGGAAACCCCTGACAAGTAAGTTCCTTGTGTGTATAGTGACAATACATACAACTCGTAAGGGTCACGGCCACATCAGCTATATCAACATTACTCTCAATGATAGACTCCGATTACCGTGTAAAAACACTTTTTTTAAATATCGAGCTAATAAAAAAGTATAAAAGTTCCTAATATATTCTTGTAAGTTGTAATTATATGAAGAAAGAAAATGTTCTGTTTGTTAGTATAACGGAGATCTTCCGTATGTTATCCTGATACTGTATATTAATGTGTTAGAGTTAGAAAATAATCACTTCGGTTTACTTTTTTAAAGAGAATACATTTCACCAATACAAACAGTTAAATGCTGTAGAGACGGTGGTTAACGGAAGGTTATCTGTTTATGGAATATTCATCGAACGATGTTGCTGCTTATGTTATAGGAATGTAGCAATATCTTCATCAAATAAACGACATATTTTAGAAAAAAAATATTTCGGTGGTTGAAATATTCGTGTTGTGACCAAAATATTGACACAGTAGGAATTTTACGGGAGACGTGAAATAACCCGTGGGTTTCTATCCGTTTTATTTTCAACCCGTCTGTTTTTCCCCGATTTCATTCCATCCTTAGAAACATCGTTCGGTGAATATTCCATCAACTCTTACCTCAGGTACTACACACTATCTGATCACTTCCGAATGTATCTAGGGTCACGGTTTGGACCACACCACTATATAACTATATGTGTCGAATGAAAGCGGCAATAAAAATGGGAAACACTGAGGAGTTCCGAATGCAGGCTATTGACTGAAGGTTATGATAATTGTATGGTGAAAGGAAATGACGCTGAAGTTGATAGTCTATAAGTATCTATCTACAACTCTCACAAATAAAACGGGGCCTTGAGTTTCAACCCTGTATACATCAGTGATTAAAACTACTCCAGATTGGCTGTATCAAAAAACTGATACAAGTGAGGGAATCACATGAATCATAGCAGTTTCTAGACTCATAGTTATCAAAATCTCCATTATCATAACAACTTTCGTTTCTTTATATGATAACCAGGAAATATCCCCTGACGATAAGACAAAATATATCAGGACATTAAGACTATGAAATATCTTCTGACGCTAAAACTATGTAATATAACCCGACGATAAGACTATGAAAAATTTCTTGACGTGAAGACTATGCAATATTTTCTGATGCTTATATTTTGGAGTCTCTCCTGACACTAAGACTATAAAATATCTCCTGACGTTAAGACTGTATAATATATCGGGGCGCTAATACTGTGGAATGTGTCCTGACTTTAGACAATGCAGAACTTAGATTGTAGTATTTTTGCTTTAAGTTACTGAAATTGTATCTTGCTCTATACTATTAAGGTTCAGTTATTCCATTCCCCAATCTGCTGCTTGCCATGCCGGGTTTATTTGTTTGGTTGGTTTTTCTAATGTATTATTTCATGAATGAAATATCCCAGAAATGAAAACATGTATCAATCTAGAAACATTTGTACATCCACAAAGATCCTGCGGTATACATAATTACCTTTTTATTTCACTTTCACGTTACCAAATGTAGGATGACCATGTTTTTGTTACACTGAAAAAAAAGTTTCTTCTTTCTATTATTTCCTGTAACGATGCTAATGAATATATTGTAAACACCAGACATAAACAGCCTCATGAATGTATTTTCCTGTACATGTAGATAGAGCATAAAGGTGCTGACATTCCTTCATAGAAAGAAGCGACAAAACCTGAGATCATGATACGTTCGCTTTTTTCTAAAGACCGTTTCTCTGCCTAATATCTCTAAGACTACTCCGATATGGCTTTTTGAAAATTAGCGCCCAGGGAAAACATGGAAGTTTTGCAGCCCATGACAAACCAAATTATATCAAATATTTCATAATCGCTGCTTGTCTCTTAACATTGAATGGGATGTACAAGGACCATTTAGCCTGTTGCCAGTACAACCAATTTGGATGTCGTTCTACCATGTTCCAGGTGGTGACATTTCTGTATGATGGATATGAAAGCATCCATTAGCGCCCCTACCTTCCGTTTACACGTACGTTTACACATTATTGTACTATCATGTTGTATTATCCTTGGTTATAATGTGTGAATTTTTATTAATAATTTTTCATTGTTTCTTTATCATTTTCTTTGTAATGTTCTACACGCTAAATTTGACAAACGTCCTGTTTTATCACTGATCTCATGATGGACTTTTTATATTGCGATTGTATTGAGACACAAACGTTTAAGGGAGAAGAAAAACAAAACTCTAAATAGCCGACCTCTCGACCCCACATATCCTCTCTTCCTGTCCCTCCGAGCCCTGAAGGCATGTCGTCCACAGCCACATCAACAGGCCGGAAACAGGGCAAATAAGACCAGCACTTAACAGCTACATTCTCATCTTCCTGAATCTGCATGACTGATGACAGAGTCCGTATTTAAAGTGTACTAATTTTTTCACAAATAAGAAATTAAGTTTGTTAATGCTTTTACCCCTTATAATGTGTTTTTTTTTTTTTAATTTTTTTTTTGTTATTTCAATAATGTCAAGCTTGATTAAAACACAAAAGTTATTTTCCCGGACGAAAATGAACAGATATGATGATATAAAGTAAATTTAGTAAGCTTTATCACAGGCATATATACAAATATATAATGTAGGTCTGTAGATTTATCTGTAAAGTCACACAATGTGTTTTCTCTCTTTCTCGCCATCAAAACGTGATTTGCATGCTTATATTGATAACACTGTCCTGGATGTATCATATATATATATATATATATATATATATATATACATTGTTCATGCGGTTAAACAATATACGAGGCTTGTTTGAAAAGTACATACCAATCTTGTGTTACATCCACAGAGAATAAAACCGCGATCCATTCAGTCAGATTATATACGTAGTCACAATTTGTTTATAAACTATACGATGATGACACGTGATAGTTGACAATGCTATCCTCCGTTTGTGATAAATACAATTACACCTACAAGGCCTTATCAGGTATCTAGACCGCCACTACATGGGATACAGATGTGTTAGAAAGTTGTGACGCTTCACCTCTGTTACACGAAACAAGGGATTACCAACACCTCTACATAATCATAATCCAAACTCAAAATTAATAAAACTAGGACAAAATATTAACAAAATTTACACTGACATTCTTTAAAGAGTACAAGGAGAATAAGACCAGGTGTTCCAGCAGAGTAACCTTCATCGATGACACTGGCGATGTATATCTTTGTCAATTCACGTGTTGTCACGTTCTCGAATGACCACAAAGTATACGACGGGCATCAATACGTTTCATAACACTTAATTTGTGTTGCTGGTATCTGTTTTGAGTAAATGTCGCTTTAAGTTGAGTGACTGGTTTTTGTTTAGAGTGACTGGTATATATTTTGAATGACTATGTTAATTATTTTGAATGTATGTGGTTTTTTGAGTGACTGATATTTGTTATGAGTCTAGAGTTTATTCCCAGCATAAGGATTCTCGTTTAAGATGTCGACAACTTATACATAAATAACTACACAGCGTTACGAGTGATGTAGGTTGAAAATTTTGGAGAGGTTTTACAGTCGTCATAAACATCTCGTCGAGAAATATTCTTGCATTTTTGTACGATATGATGAAGCTGTGGTTGATACTCGTTACGATATGAAGCTGTGGTTGATATTTGTTACGATATGAAGCTGTGGTTGATACTCGTTACGATATGAAGCTGTGGTTGTTACTCGTTACGATATGAAGCTGTGGTTGTTACTCATTACGATATGAAGCTGTGGTTGTTACTCGTTACGATATGAAGCTGTGGTTGATTCTCGTTACGATATGAAGCTGTGGTTGATACTCGTTACGATGTCTCGCGGTTTCGTTGTTGTTTACATATCCATCAGTGAATGGTTTTAGTTTTGAACGAGTATAAGTTCAATTTGAGTCTGTATTTGTCTTGAGTGACTGTGGTTTTAAATTGAGTGACTGTAGTTGTTTCAGGTGACTGTATTTGTTTTTGACTGACTGTAGTTGTTATGAGTGACTGTAGTTGTTATGAGTGACTGTAGTTGTTATGAGTGACTGAGTGACGGTAGTTGTTATGAGTGACTGTAGTTATGAGTGACTGTAGTTGTTATGAGTGACTGAGTGACTGTAGTTGTTATGAGTGACTGAGTAACTGTAGTTGTTATGAGTGACTGTAGTTGTTATGAGTGACTGTAGTTGTTATGAGTGACTATGTGACTGTAGTTGTTATGAGTGACTATGTGACTGTAGTTGCTATGAGTGACTATGTGACTGTAGTTGTTATGAGTGACTATGTGACTGTAGTTGTTATGAGTGACTATGTGACTGTAGTTGTTATGAGTGACTGTAGTTATGAGTGACTATGTGACTGTAGTTGTTATGAGTGACTATGTGACTGTAGTTGTTATGAGTGACTATGTGACTGTAGTTGTTATGAGTGTCTATGTGACTGTAGTTGTTATGAGTGACTATGTGACTGTAGTTGTTATGAGTGACTGTAGTTGTTATGAGTGACTATGTGACTGTAGTTGTTATGAGTGACTATGTGACTGTAGTTGTTATGAGTGACTGTAGTTGTTATGAGTGACTATGTGACTGTAGTTGTTATGAGTGACTATGTGACTGTAGTTGTTATGAGTGACTATGTGACTGTAGTTGTTATGAGTGACTATGTGACTGTAGTTGTTATGAGTGACTATGTGACTGTAGTTGTTATGAGTGACTATGTGACTGTAGTTGTTATGAGTGACTATGTGACTGTAGTTGTTATGAGTGACTATGTGACTGTATTTGTTATGAGTGACTATGTGACTGTAGTTGTTATGAGTGACTATGTGACTGTAGTTGTTATGAGTGACTATGTGACTGTAGTTGTTATGAGTGACTATGTGACTGTAGTTGTTATGAGTGACTATGTGACTGTAGTTGTTATGAGTGACTATGTGACTGTAGTTGTTATGAGTGACTATGTGACTGTAGTTGTTATGAGTGACTATGTGACTGTAGTTGTTATGAGTGACTATGTGACTGTAGTTGTTATGAGTGACTATGTGACTGTAGTTGTTATGAGTGACTGAGTGACTGTAGTTGTTATGAGTGACGGTGGTTTTAAGTTGAGTGACTGTTTGTTTTTTGAGTGATTCTAGAATTACTTATTTTGACTCACCGTGGTATCTATTAAAACATTTCTTTTTTTCCCTTGTTTTGAGTAACCTATTTTGATGGGTAACTATAGAGTAATGATCTGTTCCAATAATTGTGTTTTATTAATGTGATTGACGACTGGAGTACTCGAATTAGCTCCTACTTTTCTATAAGAGCCTTTTTGAGTACATCTATTTTTGAAAGATTGTATTATTTGTTCTGTTATTTTTAATATTTTTTTCTATGTTTACCAATATAAGATTTGTATTTCTTCCATTTTCTGTTTTAAGATACTTTAAGAAATAAATATAGGTTTATTCCTATTTTGTCCGTCTAATGATTTTTTTTCGGGTTTGCTAAAAACATTTTATCATAAAAATAAAAAAATACTTTTCACGATATTTGAACACAGAGAGCACGTCATAAATAACTAAAACCCTGGAAGGAATTTGGCTGTGCTCGTTAAGCATTTCGGCTAGATATAACCCATCGTTATTGGCCTACAAACACGATAGATCTTGTTTTACATTAGTGTAGCCGGATATATCGTCCTAATATACAAGGTTTGATTTCCGGGTTGTTGTAGGTAGTTACAGGGTGACTAGATGTATGATAGACATGACATCCGTTGTCTGTATCGTCCATGATAAATATGCATACGAAAGTCAAAGGTTAAAGATATTCACAATGACCGGAGGCGTTAGTGGCAGATAAAAGTGTTAGGCGGTTCTATCTATTGTTTGTTTAGGCATCACTGATAAAATTGTTTCCAGATACCATAATCTTTATAAAGTTTTCATATGTCGATCGCCATAGTATATCGAAGATAAGGGACTTAGACAAATATCTAACTTTAGATAATTGATTTCAAGGTAGTAGCTCTATGGTGATTTATTCATACATTGACGACAATGTTGTGGATTTGATTGGCAACTATCTCATGAACATCATACGGGAGGCCCGCCGTCAAAAGCAAATTGGCAAGGACACACACTGAATCAACTTTTTGAAATAGACTAACCGCTGGTAGAAAACGTTGAAACAAACATCTTGGATCTTCAACGGTGGTTACCTTAGCCAACGATTTCACCGACTGAGCTGTTTTATAGAACTGGTTGATATCCTGATTATTTAATAATACGGTAACTCACATGTGAATTATCATCCTTTCATACCGATTTTTAAATTAGTACTGCATAACAAAATAATGAGTTAAACTGCATCATACAGGTGTCCGTTGTTCTAGGACTCGTCATAGATGGTAAGGGCCTAAATGATATGAAGGCGACTAAGGGAAATTTGATATTGGCTGAAATGGATGTCGATAGATGGGCAGGTAACCTAGCAGGGCTGGTACATAAAAGACATTTTTAATGTGCGTTCAAGCTTGATATTTACAGTCACACTTCAAGGGTAAAGGTCAAATGTAATGTTTTACCTCTTTCGAAACAAAAGCTTGTGTAATGCATCTGTGTGTGAAAAGCGTGGGTTAAAGCTATCTCAGAAGTCACGATACATCACTTCCTCAAACTCACACCACAACATCACATCAATGCTTTCTGATATTATATCATATCACGTAGATTCTTGTGTGTATGTGTTTATTCTATAACAAAGCTTAAACTTACATATTTGCTTTGCCTAAAGAATACGCCTGTTATTATTAGAATTATGTTTAAATTATTTACTAATCGAAGTCCATAGAATTTTTTATGGCAGACATCAATCTTGTGCCTAAGAAAATCAGTTTTAAAAAATTGTTGATGATGTGTTATTACTTTGATGAGCTACAAGGTACAGTCATTCTTAGTTTCATTAATAACTTGTTTTGTCATATTTTGCCATTTATATACCGACTTTGAGTTCGATTAAAACTTTTGTCATCATATTGGTATATCTTGTTGTTTTTAACACGGTGTGGTCAGCCTCTGTCTCTTTGATATTAAAATCTAATGTCACTGATCCACCAGGAAAGTCCGTGGAATGTGATCACAGAAATTCCTATCTCTGTCTCCTATACTTCTAATCTAATGTCACTGATCCAACAGGAAAGTCCGTGGAATGTGATCACAGAAATTCCTATCTCTGTCTCCTATATATAATCTAATGTCACTGATTTCGGAAAGTCCGTGGAATGTGATCACAGAAATTCCTATCTCTGAAAGTCCGTGGAATGTGATCACAGAAATTCCTATCTCTGTCTCCTATATATAATCTAATGTCACTGATCCAACAGGAAAGTCCGTGGAATGTGATCACAGAAATTCCTATCTCTGTCTCCTATATATAATCTAATGTCACTGATCCAACAGGAAAGTCCGTGGAATGTGATCACAGAAATTCCTATCTCTGTCTCCTATATATAATCTAATGTCACTGATCCAACAGGAAAGTCCGTGGAATGTGATCACAGAAATTCTTATCTAGTGACCAGAAGACTAGAAGTAAAGCTTATCTCCAAGGTGTATAGCAGACCTTGATCACAAGTAACCCACTCTCACAACATGTCGCCTCTCTTGATTCTTGTGTTTGTAGGTATTCTGTCTGTTAGAGTGGAATCGTCCTGCATGTATGCTTTGCCTGACCGTAAGTAAAACCACAATATAATATAATATAATATAATGAATATAATATAATATAATATATGTACAAAATATCCACTCACTCATGACATGCACTCACTTTACAGAGGCAAAAATAACTGTAGATAAGACATTCAACGCTATAAACCCACCACATAAAAATCGTTCTAGGTTATAATTTAACAGAAACTTAATGATCCAAGCCCCCTCCTTCTCATGAGGGGTGTTAATGTTTGCATTATAATCCTTTCTGAGACGTTCCACCAGATTAATAGCATGTTCCCAATAAAAACTGACAGGAAATGAAGGTAACTAGTAACGTGGACTGATTAAACAACGGACATCCCTGTCATCGCCTTAGCTCCCTTAATACAACACATATTTTTGATTGGTGTAGCTATGTAATGTTACTGATTTCTTCATTAAAGCCGGAGCTGACGGATGTGTTTACAACGGACATCATATTGCGACAGGAGACTCTTATAGGGATATGGACAGGTGCTTCTCGTGTAGTTGTGGCACAGACAATAGCATGCAGTGTTGTGGGTAAATAGCACGTTTACAACTCGTATCTTGGAGTTCAACTACAGGGATTTTAAAAATCGAACTTTATGACTTTTTGATAATGAACTAGAGAGATAACGTACGTTTTAAAACTGACGCAAGAAAAAAAAAAAAAAAAACAGCGGAAATTATTAAAATAGAAGTAGCAATAACTTTAATGAAATGCAAACGTCGAAATTGGTTGATATGAAATGGACATCTGTGTTTTCACACCATACACAGATCACAGTAAGACATCACATGCACTGGTCACTACTGGTGAAGCAAACTAAACGACAGACATGGAGTTACAAGTCAGTTAGAGAGGGAAATGGCGTAAACTGAACTAACAGTTAAAGAGATGTATGTGATATAATGGCGACTAGGACAGGATGTGTCATAGTCATAGTGACACAGAGTCAGATACTTCCAACATCATCTTACTGACAAGCCGTCCATTAAATCACATGTATGACTGGCTATCGTTGATTCATCCTCGATATTCCAGTGGTTACGATCACTTTTGCTCTCTGTACCCCTAGAACGTTAATAGCGTAATTAGAGGCACAAGCGAAATGATTTGATTGGTCTAGAGCGGGTTTCACGAGGGGAACGCCTAGCAAATTACAGGCTGATAAACGCCTTTGAGCGACACCCAACTTCTAAGCCAAACAGCGAACCGTTATGCGATCTCGAGAGTCGTTTGATGTTCTCGTCTTTTTCACAAGGTGTCGCACATTCAACCTTCAAGTTTGCTAGAGAGGTACAGAGAGCGATAGTAAGCGTAACCCCTAGAGTATCGAGGATGCCGTTGATGTTTCTGCAGCGTAGTGTTTACAGAGAAATATGATTTTTGGAGAATATATTTCTAGCCATACATTCCAGTTAGGGATATGGGAGGGTCACGAGTCAAAAAAGGTCATCTTCCGGAAGATCATGTAATGCTATATATTTTACTTGGCTTACAATGCGGGTGTCGTCGATGAAACAAAAGGCGCTTACTCTTTGGGAACACTGGGTCGTATTCTGATTGCTATTGTTTTCAGAAGTATCGGTGTAAATCGTTCTTTTGTTTATATTTTGCCTTAGTTTCATCGAATATATGTTTAAATTATGATTCTTTTGACCTGTCAGCATTTTCATTGTTGATGTCGACACGTTAATATATATTTATGATGATAAAGTTAATTAATTTCTTTCATTGATTCACAGATTTGGTCACCAGGCAGGGGTATTTGAGATCCCAGATGGCTGCTATATGCTGAAAAATGGATGTAATTTCAAAATTGTGAACGCTCAAGATCATTCAAAGTCATGTGTAACAACTGTGATTGGCTGATTAAAAAAAGTTGACGTTTGCTTGATAAAGCATTTTATATTTACTTTGTAATATTGCTTTCGACGTCATCGTGATAACATCGAAACAAATGTGTTATAATAGAACTACTCAAACTGTAATAGAATGATTTATATATCATGTCTGTCATTAAACTCGTTCTTACTTCCCTTATCTACCAACGCAATGACTTCTCGATATACATGACAATAGTCACGTGAGAATTCGAACAAGTCATTTAACCTTAGATCTTTCATCTCGTTACATTCTATTTGCTTAATAACCTGTTATTCTTTGTGTTACGCTTTCTCCACAGGTTTGACATACTCGCGGTATCGATAAGTTATGTAATGCTGCATGTTTTGAGATAAATATTCCGTTATTCTTTGAAATCTATGTGGACGTTTAACGATCGCAGTCGTTGTGATCGAAACGTTATACAGTCAGTCCTAGCCAGGATCGGCCTCAGTTAGATGGTAATGTTTAAACGCTCATCGTTCCAGGACACTTGAAATCGTTCTTCTTCTACCTTTCAGTAGCAGCCGATGATTGTTCCATTGATTGTGAGGTTGGATCAAGAATTTATAAAACTATCGGTATGTCGTAATGTTAAGCATTGAAACACGTTTATTTAATCATTGCAGTTCAAAACATGGTGAATAACGCCACAGCTGACCGATGTTACAAAGAGCCCTGTTTTACAACATTAAACCCTAAATTAGTCGTCGGTTTCCATTTTAGAAATGCATCAACAGAATCTGTTAACAAAATGAATGAAGTCATTTTGAAGTCTATTGGCTGATTCATAACCACGTGCTGATTGGATGAGGTTATCACGTGTTTATATTTACTAGAATTTTCAAATAAGACATTTATAATCTTGACATAGGTTTATTCATATATAGTCGAACTTCGTTATTGTAAATTCTTATAACTCGAATACCTCGTTTACATCGAAGTAATTTATCGTCCCGGCCAAATTTCACATTAAGCAGTCAAACTCACTCAGATCGAATATCCGGATAACTCGAACATTCCCGCAGTCCTGCCGACTTCGAGATAATTAAGTTCGACTGTACTTGTTATTTCTAAAACATTTCATATTAAACTTGTCTATCAGCCTGACGCAGTTCGCAAAATCCAATACTTTAACAGGTTGTTACGTGTCCTTATCATGATTACAACACTACTGTAGTGTGGGTGTAACTAATGCACTTCAGCCGTGGTAGCTTGATACTTAATGAATGTGTCATTACGGAAGATGACCAGATAATCACATTTTAACCTCACATGGAGCGGTGAGTCACCAACTTTACTCCGTATTAAGGTCAGTCTCAGATGGTCTATTAGTAATCAAGTATGCTATGGCTGTTAATTTTTACGGGTGGAATTTTCGCGTTGTTTTTTTTTCTTTCTAATGATCGAATTATTTTTTTGTGAGTCAAAATTTCACGACCTGGATGTAAAAGGACATCTAATACATCATTGCTATCACGACAACATTAATTTACAATGACATAGCGAAAATAAGCGGCTGTACGGTATTTTGAAATTTTATATAACTATTATTGTCCTTTTTTCCTTTGCTGACAGTTTTGTTTGCTCAGTAAACAACAACACGGAAATATCAATTTTCTTATATCCACTAAAAAATGACAAATCACTTCTTATACTTTGAATGAAATTCTTTCCGTAACTTCATGTTTGTACAACACCTTAAAAAACAACAACAAAATTCTACAGCATGTTTCTCAATGACAACATATTAATCTCTTGTCGTATCAAGAAAAAATTGTGACATCTTTAGATCAAATCTTTTAAACAGGCTCTGTTTCCTAGAACAGATCAGTTGATTTAGTTGCGTTTCTTTCGGGGAAGTATCACTTTTTCCAACGCCATCATTGGAGACTCAAACGCAAGTGACGTCACGAAGGAGCACATGAATGTGATCACGACAATGCCGAGGAAGAAAACAACCTACAACAAAAGGATTAGGTGTTTTAGTTGTACTGCTTCATACATCAGTAGTAATGAAGACTTAACATAGGTCTCAAAGTAAAACAAGGCGAGGACTCCCCGAAAATTTTCAGGAGTATCAATATTGTTATGAAAAAAAAAAGTTAGCGAAAAGTTTGCTTCAGATCCATTGCAGAATAAAGTAAGGCACTGAATTAGGGCTTTTAAAAATTATACTTCTAAATTTTTAGACAGCTTTGTTGTATGGAATTACGCTAAAAGTGGCTGTCTTAAAGAATTCTATGGTGTAATTAAGTTTCAGCAGAAATCAGATGTACATAGTCGCTATGTCAACTAACTTATCACACCTGCTCAACGTTAAAAGGAGGCATTTCTCAAATTAACGAAATACAACAATATACTAATTAATGAAACATGATATAAGAATGGTGAAACAACACGGTAATTTGATACCTGATTAATGACTGATATATACGTTGGATATTGGTTTACACTTTCAATGACGGTGATGAAGATTAGATGGATCAGGTACGCCGCGTACGATAGACGACTGAGGGGCACAAACGCCTTCCAAGACAATAGTGTATTCACAAATCCTGCAATAATAAAGAAAGAGGATGACATGTATGGTTAATGTTCCACAGGAAGAGATTTAAGGTCTGGTGTAGATAGCTTGCTTTTCAAATAATTAGACTTTGTAATTTTGGATTTGATATGAGTGTAAAAAAGATTTCTTTTTTTCTTTTTTGTTAAAAGCGCTTGCAAAATAAATAAAGTATCGAGATTTTAATAGAATAATTTCAAAGATTACCTTAAATCTTGACAACTACTTCAGAACAGTTGGTAATGTAAGTAAAACATAAGTTCTTTCAACACATGCCTACAGTACATTGTTACCATCTTGTGAATATTTTAGTATATATTCTGTTTACCATTTCGACACACTATTTTCGACCTTTGTGTTCATGATATTTGAGCATAGCCGAAAAAGTTTATGGATTCTTTAACATCTCGTACACTACGTACGTGATTTGTCTGATGAAGGTGACAGAGTAGTCCTCGAAACGTCACAGGAAAACCTCGTATTGGTTGTGTTATAAGATTTTCTATTCTATAACATCTCGACAGCAATAATTACCAACCAAAAGGAACAATGATATATACTTGGAGCGTTGTTACCACCAGCAGACCATGGACTGCCTGATCGCTAACCTCCAAACGGAGTAAAATTGTTCTTTTATAATTTTAATCCGCTCTTTCCTAATGACTGCTTGTCTGATTCTCATGAAATATGGCAGAATTGATCTCAGACATTAAGGGATATGGGATGAGAATATATACACCGCTACCTGCTGATTGACCGAACATAACACCCTCCACACGCACACGATACCTATACATTCTTTAGGAGGAGGATGAAGCATTGCAGTGCCAAGGGAGTTGTACTGGTTTTGGCCTGTTGACGAACTCCTTTCGAATTATTCAATAAAATCTTTTGAAATGAAAGATTATTATGAAAGATGAACGAAACAAGTTATTATGCTTTGGTTTTAACGATACATCTTTATAAAACTTCTCTACCAGATTCCCTGTCCGACACTACAACACAGCATCGTCATTAAACATACAAGGAGATAAGGGACAACAAATGTAACTGTGCCAGAGCAGGGGAAACCTCGTCCTGTAACCCGAAAACAATTGAATCTGGACTACCAAGGAACAGTTTCGAATTGATCGTTGTAAAATGCACTACTCGTATCAGGTCCAAATGTACCTACTGGTGATCGTTGTAAAATGCACTACTCGTATCAGGACCAAATGTACCTACTGGTAATCGTTGTAAAATGCACTACTCGTATCAGGACCAAAAGTACCTATTGGTAATCGTTGTAAAATGCACTACTGGTATCAGGACCAAATGTACCTACTGGTGATCGTTGTAAAATGCTCTCCTCGTATCAGGTCCAAATGTACCTACTGGTGATCGTTGTAAAATGCACTACTCGTATCAGGTCCAAATGTAAAATGCTACTGGTGTACCTACTCGTTGTAAATCGTTGCACTCTCGTATCAGGTCAAATGTACCTACTGGTGATCGTTGTAAAATGCACTACTCGTATCAGGACCAAATGTACCTACTGGTGATCGTTGTAAAATGCACTACTCGTATCAGGTCCAAATGTACCTACTGGTGATCGTTGTAAAATGCACTACTCGTATCAATGTACCTACTGGTGATCGTTGTAAAATGCACTACTCGTATCAGGTCCAAATGTACCTACTGGTGATCGTTGTAAAATGCACTACTCGTATCAGGTCCAAATGTACCTACTGGTGATCGTTGTAAAATGCACTACTCGTATCAGGTCCAAATGTACCTACTGGTGATCGTTGTAAAATGCACTACTCGTATCAGGTCCAAATGTACCTACTGGTGATCGTTGTAAAATGCACTACTCGTATCAGGTCCAAATGTACCTACTGGTGATCGTTGTAAAATGCACTACTCGTATCAGGTCCAAATGTACCTACTGGTGATCGTTGTATCACTACTCGTATCAGGTAAAATGCACTAAAATGCACTCGTATCAGGTCCAAATGTACCTACTGTATCAAAATGCACTACTCAGGTCCAAATGTACCTACTGGTGATCGTTGTAAAATGCACTACTCGTATCAGGTCCAAATGTACCTACTGGTGATCGTTGTAAAATGCACTCCTCGTATCAGGTCCAAATGTACCTACTGGTGATCGTTGTAAAATATACTCCTCGTATCAGGTTCAAAGTTACCTACTGGTGATCGTTGTAAAATGCACTACTCGTATCAGGATCAAATGTACCTACTGGTGATCGTTGTAAAATGCACTACTCGTATCAGGTCCAAATGTACCTACTGGTGATCGTTGTAAAATGCACTACTCGTATCAGGTCCAAATGTACCTACTGGTGATCGTTGTAAAATGCACTACTCGTATCAGGTCCAAATGTACCTACTGGTGATCGTTGTAAAATGCACTACTCGTATCAGGTCCAAATGTACCTACTGGTGATCGTTGTAAAATGCACTACTCGTATCAGGTCCAAATGTACCTACTGGTGATCGTTGTAAAATGCACTACTCGTATCAGGTGTACCAAAAAATGCACTACTCGTATCACCAAATGTACCTACTGGTGATCGTTGTAAAATGCACTACTCGTATCAGGTCCAAATGTACCTACTGGTGATCGTTGTAAAATGCACTACTCGTATCAGGTCCAAATGTACCTACTGGTGATCGTTGTAAAATGCACTACTCGTATCAGGTCCAAATGTACCTACTGGTGATCGTTGTAAAATGCACTACTCGTATCAGGTCCAAATGTACCTACTGGTGATCGTTGTAAAATGCACTACTCGTATCAGGTCCAAATGTACCTACTGGTGATCGTTGTAAAATGCACTACTCGTATCAGGTCCAAATGTACCTACTGGTGATCGTTGTAAAATGCAGGTCCAAATGTACCTACTGGTGATCGTTGTAAAATGCACTACTCGTATCAGGTCCAAATGTACCTACTGGTGATCGTTGTAAAATGCACTACTCGTATCAGGTCCAAATGTACCTACTGGTGATCGTTGTAAAATGCACTACTCGTATCAGGTCCACTACTCGTAAGGTCCAAATGTACCTACTGGTGATCGTTGTAAAATGCACTACTCGTATCAGGTCCAAATGTACCTACTGGTGATCGTTGTAAAATGCACTACTCGTATCAGGTCCAAATGTACCTACTGGTGATCGTTGTAAAATGCACTACTCGTATCAGGTCCAAATGTACCTACTGGTGATCGTTGTAAAATGCACTACTCGTATCAGGTCCAAATGTACCTACTGGTGATCGTTGTAAAATGCACTACTCGTATGCACTACTCGTATCAGGTCCAAATGTACCTACTGGTGATCGTTGTAAAATGCACTACTCGTATCAGGACGAAATGTACCTACTGGTGATCGTTGTAAAATGCACTACTCGTATCAGGTCCAAATGTACCTACTGGTGATCGTTGTAAAATGCACTACTCGTATCAGGTCCAAATGTACCTACTGGTGATCGTTGTAAAATGCACTACTCGTATCAGGTCCAAATGTACCTACTGGTGATCGTTGTAAAATGCACTACTCGTATCAGGACCAAATGTACCTACTGGTGATCGTTGTAAAATGCACTACTCGTATCAGGTCCAAATGTACCTACTGGTGATCGTTGTAAAATGCACTACTCGTATCAGGTCCAAATGTACCTACTGGTGATCGTTGTAAAATGCACTACTCGTATCAGGTCCAAATGTACCTACTGGTGATCGTTGTAAAATGCACTACTCGTATCAGGTCCAAATGTACCTACTGGTGATCGTTGTAAAATGCACTACTCGTATCAGGACCAAATGTACCTACTGGTGATCGTTGTAAAATGCACTACTCGTATCAGGACCAAATGTACCTACTGGTGATCGTTGTAAAATGCACTACTCGTATCAGGACCAAATGTACCTACTGGTGATCGTTGTAAAATGCACTCCTCGTATCAGGTCCAAATGTACCTACTGGTGATCGTTGTAAAATGCACTACTCGTATCAGGACCAAATGTACCTACTGGTGATCGTTGTAAAATGCACTACTCGTATCAGGTCCAAATGTACCTACTGGTGATCGTTGTAAAATGCACTACTCGTATCAGGACCAAATGTACTGGTGATCGTTGTAAAATGCACTCCTCGTATCAGGTCCAAATGTACCTACTGGTGATCGTTGTAAAATGCACTATATCAACATAAGATGAGGTTACCAAAATGTTCACCTAACTGGTGATTTGTGTTTCAGGACATTCTTACATTATATGATCAATTACCTCTTCTAGTTTACAAAATTAACCTTGTGGTTTATCTAACTAAATAGTATTTAGAACACAATGCAAAATTCTGTGCTGAAGCCATGGCAGTTTGGTATTCTTAGATGGTCTAAAACGGTTTTTGTAAATATTTTTCCAATTGAAATAATTTAAGTATTTTTCTACCTGTGGGAGTTGTAGACTGTGCATTATTTCAAATGATTTACGAAGGGAAATGTGGGCCAGATTGCGTGATAGACGGGAAAAGGTTGCGACGGGGAACAATTCTAAGCAATCTGATTAAGGTTGCTCCATTTTGAGCACGTGACCCATCAGAAGTAAGACAAGTTTCGACAAGATGATGAATAGAATATTAGTTTTCGTGCAGAAGATTATTAATGCTTGTGTAAGTAAGTAAGTGTATTGTTACTTACTCTGGCGTTGTTGTTGGTATTATCGCTGAAATTACCCATTGGTGATGAGAACTCAGTAATCCCGTTGTCAATAACGAAGCAAACAACACTACGCCACATGTCACTAGGCCAACAAATTTCTTACTGAAATTAAACAACATCCTTTCAGTTACATCATGTACATCATATGTATGTCATTGGATGTTTATGTATTTATTGTTATATAATTATTGTAATTTTTCAAATCATTTCTTTTATGTTATTATATCGGAATTCTAAGAAGAATATTTTGTCCCTTTTACAACTAATACAGTGTTAATTGATAGGCAACGAAATTTACTGTATATTTTTCTGTTGAAAACACATACCGGTATAGTGGCACCAACAGCAATGGACTGATAACAAAAAACTGCATGTCATTCGACAGATACCACGACCATGCCATACACTGTAAATTTATCATTATATTACAATAACATAAATCACAAATACACAAACATCACATATTGTCGATAGGCTCATTCACCAGATTCCACGACCATCTCTATAACAATACCAAGAACACAAATACTTATATATCAAATATTGTTGATAGACTCATTCTGCAGAGTTCCATCCCTTACACTATAAATGTATTACCGTTTAATAACAACAAAGAACACAAATACTCAAACATATTGTTGATGGACACAAATTTCATGATTTTCAGAGAAGCCTTATTATCGAAAATAAAACCCCATGAAAATTAATGGTTTTCTAGAAAAAGTTATATAACGCCTTCCGAATGGTCTCAGCCGATACCACTGCAATTCAATTACATGCACTCTCTTAAGTTACATCCTTAAAAACCAAAACTGTACTGGCTCAATTGAAAGTTAATTGTCCATAAAAGGTTTCCACATTCTATCTAACCTCTTCATACTCGGTTAGTTAACATAATAACTTCAATATTCAATTATCAATATTCAGTATAAACTTTGAGCGCTCTATTGTTTCTTTATCATGTAAACCGTACTGACAATTAGATAAGTTGTATTACTCAAACAAACAAAAATATCCACAGTTATAAGATAAAAAACAAAAGAAAACATATCACTGTGTAGCCATATAGGAAATCCGCAATGCACGTTGCCTACCATTTTTTCAAATTTAAAAAAGTTGTTGATATACAGCAGATTTTGCCACCAGGTGTCAGCACAGTTGGTGTCGATTCCCTCTCGGGGCCACAATGGACCACCGTTACCACCCATGTATTTAGTTAGTGTGGAGTCAATCATCATAACCAGCATGTACATTGGTGTTAATCTAGGCCAATATAAACAAATTCGTATTAGACATTAATTAGGTCGGTACTAATCTAGATCAACACAACAGACTCCAGTTAGGCATTAATTAGGTCGGTACTAATCTAGATCAACACAACAGACTCCAGTTAGGCATTAATTAGGTCGGTACTAATCTAGATCAACACAACAGACTCCAGTTAGGCATTAATTAGGTCGGTACTAATCTAGGTCAACACAACAGACTCCTGTTAGGCATTAATTAGGTCGGTACTAATCTATATCAACACAACAGACTCTTGTTAGACATTAATTAGGTCGGTACTAATCTATATCAACACAACAGACTCTTGTTAGACATTAATTAGGTCGGTACTAATCTAGGTCAACACAACAGACTCCTGTTAGTCATTAATTAGGTCGGTACTAATCTAGGTCAACACAACAGATTCTTGTTAGACATTAATTAGGTCGGTACTAATCTAGATCAACACAACAGACTCCAGTTAAGCATTAATTAGGTCGGTACTAATCTAGGTCAACACAACAGACTCCTGTTAGGCATTAATTAGGTCGGTACTAATCTAGATCAACACAACAGACTCTTGTTAGACATTAATTAGGTCGGTACTAATCTATATCAACACAACAGACTCTTGTTAGACATTAATTAGGTCGGTACTAATCTAGGTCAACACAACAGACTCCTGTTAGTCATTAATTAGGTCGGTACTAATCTAGGTCAACACAACAGACTCTTGTTAGGCATTAATTAGGTCGGTACTAATCTAGAGCAACACAACAGACTCTTGTTAGACATTAATTAGGTCGGTACTAATCTAGGTCAACACTACAGACTCCTGTTAGACATTAATGAGGTCGGTACTAATCTAGGTCAACACAACAGACTAGTGTTAGACATTAATTAGGTCGGTACTAATCTAGGTCAACACAACAGACTAGTGTTAGACATTAATTAGGTCGGTACTAATCTAGGTCAACACAACAGACTCTTGTTAAACATTAATTAGGTCGGTACTAATCTAGGTCAACACAACAGACTCCTGTTAGACATTAATTAGGTCGGTACTAATCTAAGTCAACACAACAGACTAGTGTTAGACATTAATTAGGTCGGTACTAATCTAGGTCAACACAACAGATTCTTGTTAGACATTAATTAGGTCGGTACTAATCTAGGTCAACACAACAGACTAGTGTTAGACATTAATTAGGTCGGTACTAATCTAGGTCAACACAACAGACTCCTGTTAGACATTAATTAGGTCGATACTAATCTAGGTCAACACAACAGACTCCTGTTAGACATTAATTAGGTCGGTACTAATCTAGGTCAACACAACAGACTAGTGTTAGACATTAATTAGGTCGGTACTAATCTAAGTCAACTCCTGGAATGACCCCAAGATACACATGTAACTTTTTCTAACCGTCAGTCAGTTATTTGTTACAATCAGTTCCAAAATGAAGGACACGAAGGATAATCTAGATAAGATACATTATAATCCAACAAGTACTAAACTAGAAAAATCAATAACAAACTATATCCGTAAAATTTAAGATGGCTACAAGTCGGCCAATTTATTTTTCCGATCATTTCGAATATGGACAATACATAACAAGACACCAAAGGGGATGCTTGCTGAGATTTATTCACCCGCTTAAGATAAAACAATCACCAAATATTAGTGCCAAATCCAAAATGGCTGCCTGTCGACCATTTTCCCCGGTTCCCATCAATCCCAAAATGGACAATGCACATGAAGTATGAGAATGATCCATCAAGTTCCTCTCAATAAATAGTGATAACAATAATTGTAGAAAGATGGACGGGCAAAGGGTACTTTCAGCAGCTCACCATTTGATAATGGTAGGCTTAAATAGTTTAAGCTGCATACCTATTTGCATAATTCTGATCAATAGGTTAGAGTTCGTACGATACTTAAAAAGACACATTTAGATAATAAATCCATTAACATTATTCACAATAAAGATGTACATACTTCAGATCCATCAATGATTTACCTCCAGAATCTATGAAAGTAGAACAATGACCAATTGATGTTCCCGTTTTTCTTCACTTCTTTCATTAACATGTAGGCTAGCAGAAGACCACTGAAACAAGCAGTGAAATTTCCGATAATACCATCACATGAAACATCATAGATTCTACAGCATGATATTATATGGAACAATATAATTTCAGTCCAGAACATCGAAATCAATAATTGATACACAGAATTGAATATTTCCTTAACCATAGGGTAGATGTTGGGACAAAGTGACTTAAATTGTGCTCTGTTAAGAATTGTTCCCTGTGTGATGCAATTCATAGTAATTGAACCTTTATATAAAGACCACCTCTGTGTAAAGACCAATTTTCTCCTCTCCCTTTCATGGCCTTGAGATATATGTTTGACTATGTTATCAATAACATTTAACTTTAGCAACCTAAAACATTGGCAGTTTGATTGCTGTCCATATATCTTATTTTAGTTTATTGATTCTGAAGTACTACGTTTTAATTGCAAAAGAGTGAGAGTTAATGTACCTACCTCATGGTAAAAAATGTATCAACGGACACAAGGGCATTTAGTATAGTTTGATATGTCCATCTATTCATTACCGTCTGTAAAAACGGCAGTGAATTTACTGAAATAGAAAACAATAGGAAATACACTGCACACACATATTTTCATGCGAAAAGAGTTTGTTACAAAAAAGTAATAATGACCATTAATTAATTAGTATTGTTTAGAAGTCTTCCATTCTACACGTTAGACGAACAAAAATATAAACAATGTGTTGTCTATTTCTGTATGAATTTTCAAACACGTGTAAGGATTTGGTGTACAGTGAGATATAATATTACTACAATATTCCATCGTCCCTAGATTTCTTTCTAATTAGGCTATTTTGCTCGAGAAAGATAATCAGACAGATCTGTTTTTTGTTTCAGGTAAGAGAAAATATTCCCTGTGCTAAACAATCGTCAATAATGACAAAAACGTTTGCAATTGTTTGCTTAAAATATTCTAAGCAACACTATGGTTGTTTGCAAATTAGCAATTCCATTGTTAATCGCAGGTTACCGTGTGGTAGGTTTATTTCATGGAGAAATTTATTGCTTGTCCTGGTTTGGGCTGGGATTTAATTTCACGCTTGTCTCTACATTGGTTTCAATGTATACAAGCGCGAAATTACGACTTACTGCTGAATATTTGCCTGGTACTACATTTGATAGTGAACTTATATCCCCGCGAATTATATCATCTACAGTGTCATAGATTTCTATATATCTAGTCTGTATAAAACCTGATGTTGACCCGAACTTGAAATTTGAAAGCTAATATTACAGCCTTACTTCTTGCAGACGTCAAATCTTGCATAAAACAGTGGCCCATTATGACCCATGTTATACTGAGGAACCTCATTCCATTGAGAGCTGTAAGACTACCCTCGCCTTGGGCTGTACTCAGAATCCTCTCGCCATTCGACACCACAGAGAAGGCCAGAATGATTTTCACAAATATTCCTGGAAATAACGTGAAGAAACTTTTTAAGCTAAATAAATCACGCTGTCTACAGCTAGATACCAGGATTTGTGAAGTGATCAACAAGGATGTTCTAAAGATCTACCAACAACAGGTAGTCGAGGAAGCAGAAGATGTTCTCGTTTTCCGAATATGTGGTCTTATTATTCTCGTACTTCTTTTTCTGTGTAAACCAATCTGTCCTACATATTTTCAACGAATATGTGTTTTAGATAAATGGTTTTACCTTAATATTCTAAATTTTGTCAGATATATCCCTTTCCGAAGGTTGTATAAGACATACCGGTAAATGACATCGTGCATTGAAATAACATTATGTAGAGAAGAGTTAAGATATTTCGTTCTTAGAGAACTCGTTAAAGATGCTGAGGTCCTAAAGTATGAAAACTCTGAGTCCATCAGTAGTGTTGAGCTAATGCATTTCGTAAATTGCGCAAAAAAAACCCCACAATGAATGGTGCCTTTTAATACAAATTTAGAATAAGGCACAATATATCAAAGAACTGGCTTAAACTGTACCATACGGTATTTTTGTCCCACTCGGAATCAACCGTGATTCTAAGAACCAAATATTTGAAGCCCAGAAGGCGTCTGATGATAGCAGAGAATTGATATCGTAAGATAAGTCAGCGTCTTAATGGACAGGTGCTCTAACCCTTTGAATTTCCTGAAAATCTAAAACATAAAAACGATGACATATCATGCATATTCATATGAAATGAATACTATTTGTTATTTGTTTACAAAACTTCCCGGAAGAAAAGATTTCTGCAGCTACTTACCCTCAGCATTCTTCTCTACAGCTGGCTTTGTTTTCATCAGAAGTGTTGTGCTTTCGTTGAGAGAAGCCCCTGACTCATATCGGTCAGCCGTCGTCTGATTCTCGGGATTGATGCTTTTCTTTTCTTTTCTGTTTTCATTTCTGACAACTATTACGTCATATCCGGTACCAATTACCATCATCAGACCAATAATACTGCAAATCACTCTAAAATAAAAAAGTAATATATACACAGATTGCGGAATGAGAAAGTACATACCACAAATAAAATGTTTTTGAACTCACCTAAGTCACGTGCTTTTCCCATTCGATAATTACAGCAATGAATACATGACTGTGTAATACACATATAAAGTACTTCAAATATTTTTCATAGCTTTGATGACAATGCTGATAGGATGTATATATCATAACATACACCGTTCTCTTATTTGATTGGTGATACAAACTGGTCATGATTTCTTCTCCTAGTGACCTCTAACGATGGGATATTCGTGCGGGAATTTCAAAATCTGTGACGGTACAGAAGGAAACTACCTGATTCTGACTCTGGGTATAAACATCATGTTCTGTTATTTCTACATGTTGTACTGTTGGAGGAAGAAAGGATGTTCTACAATGTTACAATACTTGACATCAGTCATCAAATTTTTCAGTGATAATTTCTACATATTCATACTCGGGACATGGAGGCTTTGATATATAGATGGTCGTGCATGAGTTTCCATGCAAAAGAGATTGATGGAACAAGTGTTAGATTGTTCTTTTTCATTGCACTTCTGGCGAGGTAAACATAAAAAACAGGATTCTGTTGATCTTATATCCCAGATTTAATCCTGAAAACAACATCTTATTCAACAAAAATAACGTCTTGATGATCAATATTTTCCTTCCACATCTCCATCTTTGATAACGTCATAATGTATATGATGCCATAAATCTATGATGTTATAGAGAAAATGATAGGTATCTTTAGCCAATCACAGCTCCATTTGGTTATGAGTCGTATATACGTGAATATGAAACATTAGGCTTTATTTTAGATAAATCCTAATAATTTATAATAAAGTAATGTCTACGTCTTCCGAGAGAACGTTTGTATTCTGTGCACATTTGCATTTTTTGGGGAGATTTCGATCAAATACTCTCTTAGTCTGTCAGTTTGAGATGAGCGTTCTTTTTTATTGACAAGAGCTAAATGAAACGTCCTAAAAAGAATACTTACAAACTGACAATGGCTTTAGTGTCATAGGTTGTTTCCACTTCGGGGCAAGTCATTCCAATTATCCGGGATGTGTTAGAGAACACGGAAAACGCTGCAAGAAAAAGAAACTTAGTTATCATAAGTGGCAGTGCATATGTATAAAAGATACGAAAGATATACCAAATATAGAAGTAAATACAGCATAGCAAATAATTAATTAAATATCATCGTGTAATTGTCTTGTCCCTATAGGACCTGTCAGGTCTAATTGTTTTAAAATCCAGGAAAACTGATGAAAATAATAAAACAATGCTGAGATATAGGTCAAAGTACAGAGGAGATGTATCAATCCCATGGTCCAATGAATGTAATCATTCTTAATGCAATTCAATTTACTACATTATCTTTATCCAATTTCACTAATTAGCTAACTAGTACCATCTACAACTGTACATTTCACCAATTTGGAAGTGTCATCAGCGCTGCACACTTTTCATCAACTTTTCATCAACTTCTGTGCTGCGTTGTATACTTACCAGAGTTCACGAGCTTATTAGCTTCTTCTGAGCTACATCTGCTTGGTACACAAAATCCGAGGTACAGTCCCATTTTGCCCTGTTTGATAAATATTGGTCAATGGTATATTTTTGAGCAAAATGTAATTTCCGTGATTTTTCTGTCTAGGTGTTTACGTGAATGTATTTTTGTATGTTACTTTCACTCAGTATAAAGTGACATATTGATATATGGAAGTACACTTCATGCCGTGGAATTGTGTTGTGTAGAGGTAGTGGCTTATTGCTGTATGTAGGTAAAATTCAATGTGTGGTAACTTGTTGATGTATGTAGGTAAAATTCAATGCGTGGCAACTTGTTGATGTATGTAGGTAAAATTCAATGTGTGGCAACTTGTTGATGTATGTAGGTAAAATTCAATGTGTGGCGACCTGTTGATGTATGTAGGTAAAATTCAATGTGTTCGACTTATTGATGTATGTAGGTAAAATTCAATGTGTGGCGACTTATTGATGTATGTAGGTAAAATTCAATGTGTGGCGACCTGTTGATGTATGTAGGTAAAATTCAATGTGTTCGACTTATTGATGTATGTAGGTAAAATTCAATGTGTGGCGACTTATTGATGTATGTAAAAATTCAATGGTAAAATTAAAATTCAATGTGTGCGACTTATTGATGTATGTAGGTAAAATTCAATGTGTGGTGACTTATTGATGTATGTAGGTAAAATTCAATGTGTGGTGACTTATTGATGTATGTAGGTAAAATTCAATGTGTGGTGACTTATTGATGTATGTAGGTAAAATTCAATGTGTGGTGACTTATTGAAGTATGTAGGTAAAATTCGGTGTGTGACGTATTGATGTATGTAGGTAAAATTCAATGTGTGTGAGGTAAAATTCAATGTGTGTGACTTACTGATGTATGAAGGTAAAATTCAATGTGTAGTGACTTATTGATGTATGTAGGTAAAATTCAATGTATGTGACTTACTGATGTATGAAGGTAAAATTCAATGTGTAGTGACTTATTGATGTATGTAGGTAAAATTCAATGTGTGGTAACTTGTTGATGTATGTAGGTAAAATTCAATTCGTGGTAACTTGTTGATGTATGTAGGTAAAATTGAATGTGTGGCGACTAATTGATGTATGTAAGGTAAAATTCAATGTGTGCGACTTATTGATGTATGTAGGTAAAATTCAATGTGTGCGACTTATTGATGTATGTAGGTAAAATTCAATGTGTGGCGACTAATTGATGTATGTAAGGTAAAATTCAATGTGTGCGACTTATTGATGTATGTAGGTAAAAGTCAATGTGTGGTGACTTATTGATGTATGTAGGTAAAATTCAATATGTGCGACTTATTGATGTATGTAGGTAAAATTCTATGTGTGCGACTTATTGATGTATGTAGGTAAAATTCTATGTGTGGTGACTTATTGATGTATGTAGGTAAAATTCAATGTGTGTTTACTTATTGATGTATGTAGGTAAAATGTATTGATGTATGTAGGTAAAATTCTATGTGTGGTGACTTATTGATGTATGTAGGTAAAATTCAATGTGTGTTTACTTATTGATGTATGTAGGTAAAATTCAATGTGTGACTTATTATTGATGTATTATTGATGTATGTAGGTAAAATTCAATGTGTGTGTATGTAGGTAAAATTCAATGAGTGCGACTTATTGATGTATGTAGGTAAAATTCAATGTGTGCGACTTATTGATGTATGTAGGTAAAATTCTATGTGTGGTGACTTATTGATGTATGTAGGTAAAATTCAATGTGTGTTTACTTATTGATGTATGTAGGTAAAATTCAATGTGTGTGACTTATTGATATATGTGTGTGTGACTTATTGATGTAGAAAATTCAATGTGTGGCGACTTATTGATGTATGTAGGTAAAATTCAATGTGTGACTTATTGACTTATTGATGTATGTAGGTAAAATTCAATGTGTGTGACTTATTGATGTATGTAGGTAAAATTCAATGTGTGTGACGTATGTAGGTAAAATTCAATGTGTGGTGACTTATTGATGTATGTAGGTAAAATTCAATGTGTGTGACTTATTGATGTATGTAGGTAAAATTCAATGTGTGTGACTGAAAATTATGTGATGTGTGATGTAGGTAAAATTCAATGTGTGTGACTTATTGATGTATGTAGGTAAAATTCAATGTGTGTGACTTATTGATGTATGTAGGTAAAATTCAATGTGTGTGACTTATTGATGTATGATGTATGGTAAAATTCAATGTGTGTGACTTATTGATGTATGTAGGTAAAATTCTATGTATGCGACTTATTGATGTATGTAGGTAAAATTCAATGTGTGGTGACTTATTGAAGTATGTAGGTAAAATTCAATGTGTGGCGACTTATTGATGTATGTAGGTAAAATTCAATGTGTGGCGACTTATTGAAGTATGTAGGTAAAATTCAATGTATGGCGACCTGTTGATGTGTGTAGGTAAAATTCAATGTATGAAGGTAAAATTCAATGTGTGCGACTTATTGATGTATGTAGGTAAAAGTCAATGTGTGGTGACTTATTGATGTATGTAGGTAAAATTCAATATGTGCGACTTATTGATGTATGTAGGTAAAATTCAATGAGTGCGACTTATTGATGTATGTAGGTAAAATTCAATGTGTGCGACTTATTGATGTATGTAGGTAAAATTCTATGTGTGTGACTTATTGATGTATGATGTATGTAGGTAAAATTCAATGTGTGTGACTTATTGATGTGTGTGACTATGTAGGTAAAATTCAATGTGTGTGACTTATTGATGTATGTAGGTAAAATTCAATGTGTGTGACTTATTGATGTGTGATGTATGTAGGTAAAATTCAATGTGTGTGACTTATTGATGTATGTAGGTAAAATTCAATGTGTGTGACTTACTTATTGATGTATGTATGTATGGTAAAATTCAATGTGTGTGACTTATGTAGGTAAAATTCAATGTGTGCGATGTATGTATGGTAAAATTCAATGTGTGGACGTATTGATGTATGAAGGTAAAATTCAATGTGTGGTGTGCGACTTATTGATGTATGTAGGTAAAATTCAATGTGTGGTGACTTATTGATGTATGTAGGTAAAATTCAATGTGTGGTGACTTATTGATGTATGTAGGTAAAATTCAATGTGTGTGACTTATTGACAATGTGTGCGATTGATGTATGTAGGTAAAATTCAATGTGTGTGACATTGATGTATGTGTGTGTGACTTATTGATGTATGTAGGTAAAATTCAATGTGTGACTTATTGATATATGTAGGTAAAAGTCAATGTGTGACTTATTGATGTATGTAGGTAAAATTCAATGTGTGTGGCGACTTATTGATGTATGTAGGTAAAATTCAATGTGTGACTTATTGATGTATGTAGGTAAAATTCAATGTGTGCGACTTATTGATGTATGTAGGTAAAATTCAATGTGTGTGACTTACTGATGTATGAAGGTAAAATTCAATGTGTAGTGACTTATTGAAGTATGTAGGTAAAAGTCAATGTGTGGCGACTTATTGATGTATGTAGGTAAAATTCAATGTGTAGTGACTTATTGAAGTATGTAGGTAAAATTCAATGTGTGGTAACTTGTTGATGTATGTAGGTAAAATTCAATGAGTGCGACTTATTGATGTATGTAGGTAAAATTCAATGTGTGCGACTTATTGATGTATGTAGGTAAAATTCTATGTGTGGTGACTTAATGAAGGTAAAATTCAATGTGTGTGACTTATTGTGTGATGTATGTAGGTAAAATTCAATATGTGCGACTTATTGATGTATGTAGGTAAAATTCAATGAGTGCGACTTATTGATGTATGTAGGTAAAATTCAATGTGTGCGACTTATTGATGTATGTAGGTAAAATTCTATGTGTGGTGACTTATTGATGTATGTAGGTAAAAGTCAATGTGTGACTTATTGATTTATGTAGGTAAAATTCAATGTGTGGCGACTTATTGATGTATGTAGGTAAAATTCAATGTGTGTGACTTATTGATGTATGTAGGTAAAATTCAATGTGTGACTTATTGATGTATGTAGGTAAAATTCAATGTGTGTGACTTAATGTATGTGGTAAAATTCAATGTGTGTGACTTATTGACTTATTGATGTATGTAGGTAAAATTCAATGTGTGATGTATGTAGGTAAAATTCAATGTGTGTGACTTATTGATGTATGTAGGTAAAATTCAATGTGTGTGACTTATTGATGTATGTAGGTAAAATTCAATGTGTGTGACTTATTGTGTGTGATGTATGTAGGTAAAATTCAATGTGTGTGACTTATTGATGTATGTAGGTAAAAAATTCAATGTGTGACTTATTGATGTATTATTGATGTATGAAGGTAAAATTCAATGTGTGTGACTTATTGATGTATGTAGGTAAAATTCAATGTGTGGTAACTTGTTGATGTATGTAGGTAAAATTCAATTCGTGGTTATTGAAGTATGTAGGTAAAAGTCAATGTGTGGCGACTTATTGATGTATGTAGGTAAAATTCAATGTGTAGTGACTTATTGAAGTATGTAGGTAAAATTCAATGTGTGGTGACTTATTGATGTATGTAGGTAAAATTCAATGTGTGGTGACTTATTGAAGTATGTAGGTAAAATTCAATGTGTGGTGACTTATTGATGTATGTAGGTAAAATTCAATGTGTGTTTACTTATTGATGTATGTAGGTAAAATTCAATGTGTGGCGACTTATTGATGTATGTAGGTAAAATTCAATGTGTAGTGACTTATTGATGTATGTAGGTAAAATTCAATGTGTGCGACTTATTATTATTATTGATGTATGTAGGTAAAATTCGGTGTGTGACGTATTGATGTATGTAGGTAAAATTCAATGTGTGTGACTTACTGATGTATGAAGGTAAAATTCAATGTGTAGTGACTTATTGATGTATGTAGGTAAAATTCAATGTGTGCGACTTATTATTATTATTGATGTATGTAGGTAAAATTCAATGTATGTGACTTACTGATGTATGAAGGTAAAATTCAATGTGTGTGACTTATTGATGTATGTAGGTAAAATTCAATGTGTGTGACTTATTGATGTATGTAGGTAAAATTCAATGTGTGACTTACTGACTTATTGATGTATGTAGGTAAAATTCAATGTGTGTGACTTATTGATGTATGTAGGTAAAATTCAATGTGTGTGACTTATTATTATTATAAAATTCAATGATGTGTGTACTTATTGATGTATGTAGGTAAAATTCAATGTGTGCGACTTATTATTCTTATTGATGTATGTAGGTAAAATTCAATGTGTGGCGACTTATTGAAGTATGTAGGTAAAATTCAATGTGTAGTGACTTATTGAAGTATGTAGGTAAAAGTCAATGTGTGGCGACTTATTGATGTATGTAGGTAAAATTCAATGTGTGGTGACTTATTGAAGTATGTAGGTAAAATTCAATGTTTGCGACTTATTGATGTATGTAGGTAAAATTCAATGTGTGGCGACCTGTTGATGTATGTAGGTAAAATTCAATGTGTGTGACTTACTGATGTATGAAGGTAAAATTCAATGTGTGTGACTTATTGATGTATGTAGGTAAAATTCAATGTGTGTGGCGACTTATTGATGTATGTAGGTAAAATTCAATGTGTGACTTATTGATGTATGTAGGTAAAAGTCAATGTGTGACTTATTGATGTATGTAGGTAAAATTCAATGTGTGGCGACTTATTGAAGTATGTAGGTAAAATTCAATGTGTAGTGACTTATTGAAGTATGTAGGTAAAATTCAATGTGTGGTGACTTATTGATGTATGTAGGTAAAATTCAATGTGTGTTTACTTATTGATGTATGTAGGTAAAATTCAATGTGTGACTTATTGATGTATGTAGGTAAAAGTCAATGTGTGACTTATTGATATATGTAGGTAAAATTCAATGTGTGGCGACTTATTGAAGTATGTAGGTAAAATTCAATGTGTGGTGACTTATTGATGTATGTAGGTAAAATTCAATGTGTGGCGACTTATTGATGTATGTAGGTAAAATTCAATGTGTGTGACTTATTGATGTATGTAGGTAAAATTTAATGTGTGTGACTTATTGATGTATGTAGGTAAAATTCAATGTGTGTTGACTTATTGATGTATGTAGGTAAAATTCAATGTGTGGCGACTTGTTGATTTATGTAGGTAAAATTCAATGCGTATTGCTGTAATCACATTAAGATTTAGTCTCAATGTGGTTGCATTTCATGTATGTGAAAAAGTCTCAATATGAACGATTTATCAAGATATATTAGAGACCTTTTAAAAGAACCTCAAATTACTTCATTGGAAAACAGATTTCATATCATAACCTTCATTACTTTGATCATAAACATACATATAAACTGCCTTTGTAGAGTTAAGATCATTATTACAACATGTACTATTAATCTCTGTAGATTCTTTACACAAACAGGCAATTTCACGTAATGGTTATGATATTAGAAAAATTCAAACACATAAAGAGCATCAGAATATGAAAACAATCAGTGATATTTACCAGCTGTAATTGCCCGAGGCATTGTTTGGCTTTTATCTGGTACTGTGGCCCGGTGTTGGTGATCATATCGACATAAACAGTACCTTCTACGGAAAGACATTCCTCATAACCTCCGGTCCAAAATATGTTACCGCTCAAGATGTCGCTTGGGGGCTTTGCCATGGCATCCAGCACTTGATAAAAAAAGTGTAAAGGGAGGAACAACAAATCGGATACAAAGCTTAAAAAATAAGGAGTAATCTGATGGGAATCAATAATAAACAAAATAAAGACTACAAGCCGGGCATAGAAATGAGACCTGAATGGATGGTCCAGGGGGAAAGTAGAAACGCACACAAGTGATAAGTATATTTTTAAGCGCTATTTCTCAATTATAAAATCATTCAAGTATAGATATATAATAAGAGCAGATGTCCAGGAGGATAATTGCCCGAAATATATATCGAGATGCAAAAGCCATTTATTGTGATGTCTTCCAAATGAGAACCATAACCAAACCATAATATCGCCTTATTCTCAAGCAATGAAAACGAGCTGAATGTCACATGGCAATTTCAAAGGAAATGTTTAGTTTGAATACGCAGTTAAAAACTGGAATTGGTCCGTAGTCGATTTACCACCATTATGTACGTACTTTGTAAGGCCCAATGACTCTTCCTTTCTAATCCTAGAATCACTTGCTTGGCATCATTCAAACAGGATTCGGAAATGTTAAAGTCTTCTCTAGGTACTTCATCATCTGTCCTATATAAAACGTCCTTGAATATGTCGAGGTATGGCTGGGATGCTCCAAGAAAACTATCAAACAACTCGGTGATTAAATTATTTTTTGTCATTCTTATATAGTCACTGTTTGCCATGGTCCTCAACTTTTCTGCAGCTTTACTGTAGTCGGGCGTTCCCCCTCCATTGACGCTGGATGATAACGTCACAGAGCCAAGAAAAATCATGAAAAACACAAACCTACCACGTACAATCATTGTATTGATGTTCTCTGTGATTTCTGATGTCATATACTTTATCCGTTGTTAATGTCGTGAGATACAAACCGTTTGCAAAGTTCATTGCCCGAGCATGTTATATATTGACTATCAGTATTTAGTACGTTACATCTAAACACATGTCATGTGTCATCAGGTCACTTTTGGAATCACAGGTATTGCTAATGATCACATCATAAAGAGACGACCTCTTGTTATCGAGAATGCGTCATATATCATTCACAAGTGAAGTGCAAAGCCCGAACATCATCGTCTGTTGTTTAAATAGTGGATGATAATAAACGGAGGGCACGGTTGTGAAATGTGGCTGTGTTGAGTGGTAGACGTGATAGTGATGTCTATCATGTAAGAATGAGTATATGCTGTAGATTGTGTCAGTGAATACACCCGAACCCATGTACTTATACGGTCTAAAATGAATCATCATTACATATGGGATTTTATTAAGCAAAATTTAAGAAGGTTTTATTTTATTTTATTTTAAGTTGTTTTTTATCACATAAACTCTGCAAAATTACATTTTTATATGTTGTATAGTAAACCTAAAGAGGACAAAATCAAATAAATAGAAACAAACATTTCATTTTTAAACAATTAATGACATCTCGTCATTGGCTATAAAATGATATCACAAGTATTTTCTCACTACCTCTACCATGAAAAGACGTTCCAAGGTTGATTTCACTAGTGACATACACATCGTTCACCACGTGGGCGAATTCATTGGATAACGGTGTCCTATATTGCCGTGTTACACTGATATGTTCCTACGTGACTCTAAATAGATATATTACACTCCCTCGTGACCTCGATCTCTTCGCCAACTACCTTCAAGGACAATACAACAGTATCAACAAAGACAATGATACTAATATATCAACAGAATCTTAATTCTAACTCAAACTCAATGAAGCTTTGACAAAATAGGAATTGAGAAGTATTTAGAGATAATAAGACAACCTGTTAAGCGGAGTTTCTTTGTGTGCCAATTATTTCACATTAATTCGGTGTCGATTGAAATACCCGAAATGGCGTTGTGAAAGTGATGATGTCGAAACATCCTCTCTCAGATATTTCCACATATAGACTTCTTTAATATTCGATAAATGACGTAAATAAGTACCACATTTTAATGAAACTTTAGAGTTAGATGCAGTTGAGCCAAACAATGATTCAAATTGCGTTATACAGATTTTTCGTCCTCCTGGGGCTCAATGATGCTAAGGAATTCAATTCAGAAACCTTGGATGCGATTGGGGAAAATCTATATTGATGAAAATGTAATTCAAAATATCGATTGGAAGGTGCACTTGCCTCATGATGAAAGAAATGTCGTCATTTTCATATACGTTATTATTTCAGTAATTAAGTACAAATATAGTGTATATATTTTCTCTTTAAAAAGTAAGACATTCATTTACCACGTGCATCGTATATATCCATCAAAATTGGAAATCAAGGGCACAACAGACTCTTCTACATCAGCCGCATATCTCATTTTTTCCTACAATGAAACTAACACGGACATCTTTCAACCAAGCTGTATGACTAGCATGATTTCGATTTCCAAATGGTTAATTTTCCATTTCTGGATAACAACAATCCTGCATTCCCAAGCTATGGTGTTAACATATCGTTTTTGAATCAATATTCAAGGGCCCGTTCCTATTATCACGATTTGCTTGCAATAAGTCATCAACTGACGGACAACCTTATAACACGGGGCTTAAAAAAATGCAGGTTGATGGAAATTATTTACCGTTGTCATAGTGATCACATTGAAAAATATTATGTTATGAGATATGAAGCTGGACGTGTTTGATGCTCGTTATTTTGTCTGTAGGTTTCGTCCTTATGTTATCATTTAAGGACGTGACATTACTTTCTTGGGTTGACCAATATTAAGATGGTCGACGATGAAGCAGAAGACACTTACTCTTCCAGAACACATGGTCTTATTCTTATTAGTCTCATATATTCATTAGTCTCTGTGTAGATTTTCCTTGTAATAAATATTCTCATGAAATATTACAAAGGTTAATATTTTAGATATGCTCCAAGACAGAATGGTCCTCACAGAAAAGGAAGAAACAAACTGACCCTACATCAACACAAACAAAAACTAATAATATAATGCAATATTTTAATCTCTGGTATCTAATACAAATGATATACAATACATAAGGTAGTTTTAGTCGTAATTCAATCTCCAATTTGTAATAAAATATACAAAGATACAATAGATACTATTTCATTCAATTCCAGTAGCTTCGGTATATCCTTTGAACTTATTGTCATGGCGTGATATTTAGGTTTAGATCAATCCGGGTGTTAATGTCGAATGTACCATTCGTTGAATCACTATTAAACTTGCGTTGAAGTTTTCGTTGTATTTTCCTTTCGTATTACCTGGTTATTTTGAAAAAAAAAACCCGCTTTGGTCAAATTGGTTTAAATAGTTTCAATTTGGGTTGATATAACCTAATACAATCATTCAAGTGAAAAATTGGCATTTCAAGAACAAATAAATGTTACATGTTTAAGACACTTCAGAACTACCTATCTTAATGATTTGTGTGTGTCATTGTCTCACGACAAATACCAGATTCTCTGTAGACAAATAAACTTAACGATTGTCAATTATAAGAAACATTTCTCAATCAAAATTACATATAAATGTAAACATATTGCATACAGAAATCGTATTGCTAAGCATGTTTAGCAATGAGATCACACAAACATGAAATATTGTGTAATACTATCGATATATTCTTCATAATCAATATCTTAACATTGTTTAATGTATTTAAAAAAAACTAAATCAAAATATGATCCATGTTATGGTAATACTTTTCATTTTTTCTGTCCTCGTTTGAATATCGCCTTTTCTAATCCCATCATTGGAGATTCAAATGCAAGGGAGACAACAAAGGCTACTGCATATGCCATCATCAGGAACGCCAGGAAATACGTTATCTGTAACGTGAGATTGCATTTAAACATTACCTCCATATAATTTGATGATGAAAAGGAATCCATACATTTGGCAAAATGAAATTTATTTGTAATGAAATATGATAATAATTATATTAACGTAGATGTTTTAAATAATTGAAGTTATATTTTTAAAAAAAAGTTGTAGAAAATAATTAAGCAATAGTCAATTTATCATGATGGGCATTTCATGCACCAATCATGAATAGGTCCCGTAATGTAGTTTTGTTATCTAGTGATTGACTAACTTAGAATTTATCTGTCCATTATAGGATTATGTTGGATCGCATATAACTTTATACTGGTACATCTATCATGTTTAAATTCAATAGATATGTCACCCGCAACTGTGAAGAAATCTAGGTAAGTTGTATGTAGATCCTGACATTAATTAATCTTTTATCAAATATTTTAGACAAACCTGCACACATTTACCAAATTATATCATTAATACATTTCAGTTATCTCCCCTCCCACAATGAATTATGATAACGTACCATCGTCAAATCACTCATTCGGAACTGTTGGCGGAGACTTAAATACACGAGGCTCTGTAGGATAGGATGCACCAGGTACGCACAATAGGTCAGACGACTTAGGGGTACAAATCCACCCCATGACAACAAGGTGTTCACAAAGCCTGCCCACGAGAGCGCATACAGTCTTGTACATTACCAAAATTAAAATAAATTTCTACAGACCGCGTAGCCATTCATGGTACAAAAACAGGTTTAAATTTTGTTTTGAATAATATTCTATCATATGTGATACAGTTCACATTAAAACTAATTCTTCATTCAATTCGACTTATTTTCAAATATTGGAACATTTTGTTGTATTTGATTTAATTATTGTACATACCGCCGCTTCCGTTCGCACAGGAAAATATCACCCAGCAGACGCACGCACCCCAGACGCTTCTGTGTACTGTGTTATACAGTGCTGACACCTCCGTGCTCAGTGTTTCGTTCCCTCGCAGCGGTTCGTATAGTCCGTATAAAACAAGACAGGCCAGAGTAGTAGCTACAGCCCATCCTAACAAGTTGAGGAGCTGGATAATAACAAAAAGACAAAAATACATAATAAACGTGAAACACGAATATTAAGCTGAAGCTATGCATGGCCCTCATCGGTCCTTGCAAGTTCTTGTGAAATGAAGTGTCGGTGTGACGCGCACATAGTGCTAATATGATCTCAACACTTTGTCAACGGAGCACGCTTGTGATTACAATTCCGTTCAATTCCTGGCGGGTCACGTGACAGCAATCAATTTTTTCCGGCTCTATGGTACAATTATCATTTACATTAAAGATGAAAATTTATAAATTTATAAAACATATCAATGTAATCGTTTGACAAATTTCTGGATATAATTACTGTGACCTTCTATATATCAAGTCATAGCAAGGAAAACTTTCGTAAGTTAGCGCGGCTAATAACACAAGATTACTTGATCTGTTCAATGCATGCTCACCCAGTGCATATTGTACTTGAGTTTAGAACGGTACAGCAGATAACCAGCCATGATACCAACGATGTAGGGACCCATACGTGTCCAGGGTTTGATGTAGTAATACTCAAAGTATTTTTCGCTTAAAGTAAAGGAATTAAGTGAAATATAACTACGCATCTTAACAGTTACAAGTTGTAACACCGCTTAGCGAGCTCTAACTTTTGAATGAATATGCAGATCATGAAATATTTAGTTTAGACCAGGAATAATCTTTTTCTTTTTAACACAGTGTATGACTTTAAAATGGAATATTTCACTTATATTACGATAGTAGAATCAATCATAACGTTTCTGCATCGTATCGCCCAATATATTTCTCACTAGTTGTAAAACGGAAATTGTGATCAATCAGCGAAATTGTACTTCAGTGTGATATTGGAATTTATAGTTAAGTTTTACATGTGATGCTAGAATAGTTATCTTACTTATTTATGAAATAAGTATGACATGTGTTAACTCACCAAGGTATGAAATAAGTATAACGCATGGTGTTTTACCTGGGTATGAAATAAGTATACCACATGTTAACTTACCTTGGTATGAAATAAGTTTAAAATGCATTAACCTAAACGGGCATTAAATAAGTATAACACATTGTGATTTACCTGGACATAAAATAAGTATAACACGTGATAACTTACCTGGGCATAAAATAAGTATAACACATGGCGATTTACCTGGACATAAAATAAGTATAACACGTGTTAACTTACCTGGGCATAAAATAAGTATAACACATGGCGATTTGCCTGGACATAAAATAAGTATAACACGTGTTAACTTACCTGGGCATAAAATAAGTATAACACGTGTTAACTTACCTGGGCATAAAATAAGTATAACACATGGTGATTTACCTTGGTATGATAACTTGCCTAGGTTATGAATACCTAGAACACGTGTTAACTTACCTGAGAATGAAATAAACATAACACGTGTTAAAGTACCTGGGTATGAATTAAGTATAACACGTGTTAACGTACCTAGGTATGAAATAAACATAACACGTGTTAACGTACCTGGGGATGAAATAAACATAACACGTGTTAACTTACCTGGGTATGAAATAAACATAACACGTGTTAACTTACCTGGCTATGAAATAAACATAACACGTGTTAACGTACCTGGGGGATGAAATAAACATAACACGTGTTAACTTACCTGGGTATGAAATAAGTATAAAATGCGTTAACCTACCCGGACACAAAATAAGTATAACACGTGTTGAGTCACATTGACATGAAATAAGTATAACACGATAACACGTGTTGACTTACCTGAGCTTAAAATAAATATAACACGTGTTAACTCACCAGGACATAAAATAAGTATAACACGTGTTGACTTACCTGGGCATTAAATAAGTATAACACGTGTTAACGCACCTGGGCATAAAGTAAGTATAACACGTGTTGACTTACCTGGACATAAAGTAAGTATAACACGTGTTAACTCACCTGGACATAAAGTAAGTATAACACGTGTTGACTTACCTGGGCATTAAATAAGTATAACACGTGTTGACTTACCTGGGCATTAAATAAGTATAACACGTGTTGACTTACCTGGGCATAAAGTAAGTATAACACGTGTTAACTTACCTGTGTATGAAATATGTGTTATGAATGTTAACATACCTGGGTATAAATGTAGAAACGGGAAGGTCGTACTTTGTAGACACGACACCTGTTGCTATGAACGTTCCCGTGAGAAAAGCTAAGCACGTTATCATACCTATAACCTTAGAACTGCAGAGGAAAAAATGAAATATTTTTAATGTAAAACAGATACTAATTATGTTGTCACCAGAGCTTTTAAGTATGACATCTAACAAAAAACAGGAAAGAAACTATCAAGTCCGTTTCTAACTGTTTTTCAATATTTTACTTAACTACATATTGCTATATATTTGAAATGATATAACAGTGTGTGATCTGTTATCCTGCCGTCCATTTATCTCTTATCCTCATCGTTTTTTGGAAATGATATTTCCTTATATATATATATATATTCCATAGTCAATTTATTACAATTACAGTAATATTTCATATACATCTTTCTATGGTTCAAAAATAGTCTGGACCCAATATTACGTTGAGAATATATAAGCACCAGCTTATTCATAAGCATAAATTAACAGTAATAAGAACATTCCAACTTACTAAAATAAAGGCACCAGCATCAACGGGCTTAACACGAAGAATTGCATATCATTTGCGAGGTACCAGGCCCAGGTGAAACACTGACAAATACAACAATTTCATAATGAATTTATAAAGGTCATATACTGTGTCAAAATAGCATTTTTGTCGAATTGATACAGTTGAAGTAAAATGTCACGCCATTTACCAGATACAGAGTGTGGAATGCACGTAAAATATGCACAATAATTGATTTATACATACTGTTAGTTATATACACAACAGATAATGCATCACCTACCGATTTGTCAGTTTTCACCAAGTTGTTTATATATAACAGATTAGTCCACCATGTATCCTCACAGAAGTCTCGTTCGAAACCTCCTTCTGGCCAAAACGGACCATCATTGAAGTAACGTGTAAGGGTCACTTCCACGAAGAGTACCAGCATGTACGGAGGTGTTAACCTGGAGATAAATCAAAGGTAGCTAAACCCTCGTTAACAATATACTTGAAAAAAGCGCTAGTAGCAAGTTGTTAAATCATCGAATTATCAGTAAAACATTTATCTGTTTGAAACAGGTCACTGTAGACTATAGGTACACGTGGTTTTTTTCTATAATACACAGATACCAATAAATACAAAACACTCCCAAATGTAAGCTTCGAATGTAGTAGTATCTACTTCCGGATTATACCAAAGACTTACTGGTCAGACCATTAAAAATAGAATTAAATACAGTAGTGACAATTAATGAATCTAATATTAACTACTTCCGGATTATACCAAAGACTTACTGGTCAGACCATTAAAAATAGAATTAGATACAGTAGTGACAATTAATGAATCTAATATTAACTACTTCCGGATTATACCAAAGACTTACTGGTCAGACCATTAAAAATAGAATTAGATACAGTAGTGACAATTAATGAATCTAATATTAACTACTTCCGGATTATACCAAAGACTTACTGGTCAGACCATTAAAAATAGAATTAGATACAGTAGTGACAATTAATGAATCTAATATTAACTACTTCCGGATTATACCAAAGACTTACTGGTCAGACCATTAAAAATAGAATTAGATACAGTATTGACAATTAATTAATCTAATATTAACTACTTCCGGATTATACCAAAGACTTACTGGTCAGACCATTAAAAATAGAATTAGATACAGTAGTGACAATTAATGAATCTAATATTAACTACTTCCGGATTATACCAAAGACTTACTGGTCAGACCATTAAAAATAGAATTAGATACAGTAGTGACAATTAATGAATTTATATTAACTACTTCCGGATTATACCAAAGACTTACTGGTCAGACCATTAAAAATAGAATTAGATACAGTAGTGACAATTAATTAATCTAATATTAACTACTTCCGGATTATACCAAAGACTTACTGGTCAGACCATTAAAAATAGAATTAGATACAGTAGTGACAATTAATGAATCTAATATTAACTACTTCCGGATTATACCAAAGACTTACTGGTCAGACCATTAAAAATAGAATTAGATACAGTAGTGACAATTAATGAATCTAATATTAACTACTTCCGGATTATACCAAAGACTTACTGGTCAGACCATTCAAATATAGAATTAGATACAGTAGTGACATTTTTTTAATTAAACTTTATCATACAGCTCTTACGTCCTTGAACACAAGGCTTATCTGGTAGATTAATTATTCTACTTTATGAAACATGTGATTTTTTTTAACAAAGTAGATCAAGATACAGCGATAACAGTATGACAGGTATTTACAAGCCGCGTTTAGATAAATACCCTGATGACGTCACAATAGTGACCAGAAGAAAAGACCACATGGACTTGGCACGAATTTCCAGCCCGGTCAGTATTTATATTATAGTTACAACACGTTTAACTCCTGAGAAGGGAAAACTGAGCATATTTCTTAAAATTATGATTTTAGAATTGATATTTTGAATGCGTTTCTGCCCCTTGAATTATGTATAGATAATGTAAACAAGAAATGCAAAATAATTCATTCAAAGTATAAGATTTTTTTAAATGTCCTAATATGTTATTACAGAATTATCAAAATTTATTTTTTTTTCTTTTATAACGTAGATATTGGAGTAGGGGTTGGGGTTGAGGCCTTGTACGGCGTTCATCCGTCTACGACAAACAGATACGAAGGCAGTTGTTGTTGATTAGATAGAGAAGCGTGATGTTTTATATTGACTTTCTACTACATACGTGACATAACACTAGCACATTCGGTGTTGATACGGGTATGGGTATTTTATACCGCCAAAACGTAGATTGTTCAATTTATACTTATACATTTTTGAATTTCGGAATTAATTAGATACATAATTTGGTCAATACTTGACCGATATTCTTCCTCAAACACTTATTGGAAAGATGAAACATTTCGTTTGAAGATATTGTATGCAATACGTATAACACGCAGAATATATATATATATATATATATACATATATATATATTATATATAACATAATCTAACAAAAGTGTATTAAGTTTACCCCTAACGAGTAACAGTCTTTGACACGATAATACATCCCTATGAAATATCCTAAATACTAGAGTGTAAAATAGAAAACTACACACAAGTCCCCCAATTAGATAGTACACTTTTCGATACAGGTTAGAAATAAGATACGGCAATAACAAATATGTTTCTTTCAGAATCTGAAGAGAGTAAAAATACCTTCCTACAAGTCAGATTGTTTACGTGTGGTGTGGAATGGACTCACCCAAACTTACCTCCAGAATCGATGGAAATAAAACATCGCCCAGTTCATCTTTCCCTTTGTCTTGTCCATCTCGCGCATGAACAGATAGGACACCAGTAATCCACTGTTCATGTGTAAATGCAATTAAAAGTAAAACAAGTATATCATTAAAAACGACAAATTCCACTTAGTTATATTATTTTGATTTTGTTTTGACATTGTTGTTGCAGCAATCAAAATGTAGACGTTCCTTTATTTAATGTATTTGCATACCTAATCCCTAAATATTTTCTAGATGGTATGTGAATTTTGACGATAGAATTGTCATGAAATCAGCACAAATAGTATCAATTACTTGTCAGGCATGGCTCCTTATTTGATTTCATTTTGGTTAGCAACAACAATGACAAGATATTAGCTCGGCATGCTTTTGTATAACAATATTGCACGTTCATACCATTGTTCAATTATATGGGTCTTCTCTTATTTTAACCAAACAGATCTCACAGAAATCATTTTAATCATCGCGACCTTGTTTTCTTGTCAAGTTGTGAGACCAAATAATTATTACATTTTTTACAACAATTCTTAAACCAAACAGCCTTACCGCATTCGTCAGAAGGGAATAACTGAAGTATAGATATTTTAAGAAGCATTAGAGAAGTTTGTCCGGCTTTAATCATCCGCTCCTGATTAGTATTAGGATTTCGTTTTATTTCAACAAATTGTATTGTAAAATATGCTAAAGAATAAGATATCGGGCAAATCTGGTATTAACGTTCTTTTGGTAAATTCGGTAAAAATGCAAATCATCTTGTGTATATTTATATAATATTTTGACTATTTCGTCACATCATTTTATGTACATCAGATTTTAGTTTAGACGAAACAGCAGGTCGATTCCGTACCATCAGATACACTGTGCAAGTTACTGCTAGCACGCCCCACACTGGTCATTTGTCTGATGAATGTGACCGTGGTGTCATCGAAACATCACACTCACAGCTTCTACTTGTGGTGTCATAATGACTTTTATTCTATACTGAAAGGATAAAGAAACGCAAGGTAATATTTATTCCGATATTTTGAAAACGCGTTCTCCAAATAAAGTGAAACATTTTGGATTGAGTAATTAGGTCATATTACACCTTGTCATGTATCGAAAATTTAGTCACGGTACAGTGCGCAGCTCTGGTAAATGGAGGAAGGAAAAAACAATAATCTCGTGCACCGTGTTGTTCTGGTCTCATGCAGCGTTGGTCAAGTCACTCTTCGTTAGTCTTTATACAGACCAACTGCTTCCCTAAAATTAATTGAGAATTCGATTCGTTTTAAGAATGGCACGACTCACAGAAGTTCAGAAGTGTAAGGCCATTCAGATGCTGATGCAAGGACAGCTGCAAAATCAGGTTGCTAGGCACTTTGGTGTTAATGTTTCCACCATAGAACGTCTTGTAAGACGTCTTCGGGAAACTGGGCGATTGGCCGATCGACCTAGGTCAGGACGTCCGCGCGTAACGTCACGACGTCAGGATCGCTATATTGTCATCTCTCATGTGCGTAATTGGCGCCTTACTGCCGTTGATAGTGCTGTTAATGTTCGTGGAAATCAAGGGCGTCCTATAAGTTCAAAAACTGTAAAGAACCGATTAAGAGAAATTGGTGTAAGAGCACGTCGCCCCTACGTAGGTCCATGACCTGGGTCGCTGCACGTGCTCCACGTGCTCCACGACGGTTTCCGCTGAGGCAGTGGAGACAAGTTTTCTTTACGGACGAGTCACGATTCTGTCTTTATCGATCTGACGGCCGTCAACGTGTCTACCGACGTCGTGGCGAACGTTTTACGGACGCTTGCGTTGTAGAGAGGGATAGGTTTGGGGGCGGTTCAGTAATGGTGTGGGGAGGAATCTCACACGGGTTAAAATCACAATTGGTTGTTATTGATGGCAATTTAACAGCAGCTAAGTATAGAGATGAGATCCTCCGACCCCATGTTATCCCTGTCTTACAGCAGCATAATCTAATCCTCCAGCAGTATAATGCTAGGCCCCACGTAGCAAGGATTTGCCAAGTCTTTCTGGCCAACAACAATATTCAACCACTAGATCGGCCGCCATATAGCCCTGATTTGTCCCCGACCGAGCATCTTTGGGACCAGTTGGATAGACAGGTTCGAAAGCGCCAGCCATCCCCTGCTACTCGAGAGCAGTTGACCAGAGCTGTGATTGAAGAGTGGGACAACATCCCCATAAGACGGATTAACGCTCTCATGAACTCTATGACCAGAAGAATAAGGGCCGTGACCACAGCAAAAGGCGGACACACAAGATATTGATGACTCAGTTCAATTTCAATTTCAAAATCCTATGGGTCCATTCAATTTAATCGTTAGTACCTCTAAAACAATTGTCAGATGCAAAATACAGAATTTGGAAATTTTTAAGCTTTAATTTATCTGTAAGTATACAAAATTTCGTTTTAAATGAAGCCCGATATCATACTTAATTTCTGGTTTAATGTTTACCCTGCGTTTCTTTATCCTTTTAGTATATTAACATTACTAACTCGAAAAATGTTCGGAAATGTTTTTAACAGATATCTTTCGATTTCACTGTAATACGCTGAAAACTCGAAAACAAGCTGACCCAGAAATTAGCCTGTACTGGAAATAAGCCCAGACAGCGTCTTATTTTCGAGGTTTGTAGAGGTTACGCACTATACTTTTGATAATGAGGAATTATGCTAAGACGAGTTTTAAACATTAAATTTTTTTACGTCTATCAAGTCTATTGGAGAGATATTCTTTACTAAATATATGATATGAAGTACCTCTTAACAATCATGTTGTAATTCTTGCCATCTCTAATTTTAGCAGTTGTTTAAATTGTTGAGTGTAATTCTCTACAAAGATAACTTTCTATAAATAAAAGTTATTGTCATATCGTGGGGCTATTTTCTCTCAAACGTGATTATTGTGAATGTGTCTGATCAAAGGAGCTTAGAAAAAAACATGTGAAAGCAACGTGTTTCTTAGACTTTTGGGTTATAATTCACATTATTGTTACGCTCATATCCATTTAAATAAAAAATTATCTCGTTATCAATGTTGATATATATTTGAGATGATTGTGGTTGAGAGAAACCGAAAAACCCTGGACATTTTTTATCTACTCGATGTATCAGTAAGTGTTTGGGTTTTATGACTGCAAAACAGTATAGTAGTCATTTTGAACCAAATTACCTTAAATTTTAAACAACGAATAATGCAAACACGGCGACGTGTCCCGTTCACTCGTGTTATTTGGTTTGTACCATTCTGATTATAAGCCAGCTTATCTCTCGTGTGAGGGGAACATCATTTTAATAACGTCTGCATTGATCTTCATCAACCTTCATTTGTCGACATCTATCACAGAACTGTTGATTTTTGGAACCGCACTTGCACAAAAATGGTTATCTGTGTATTTTATCATATACATACTTTATAATATTGTCATTTGAAATATCATTACCTTAATGCAAAGAATGTATCGACAGAAACCAATGCATTCATGATGGCCTGGAAAGTCCATCGATTGGCCATTTGTGGCCAAAACGTAGAAACATTATCTACAAGTAAAAAAGTGTCTGTACAAAATGTGTCAATACAAAGACAAAACGATGAAATCTTTATTAGTGTTCTGACAGTAATATAAACCGATAGGTTGAATTTTATACCGAAAGAAAACCACAAGGAAAAAATAAAATAAAATAGAGAAAACTCGTATCGAAAGCGAAATAAAAAATCTATTTTGATACTCACGAACAAAATTCATCCCTGTAGAGTAAGTGTGACCAAGAATGACCCAGGTCATACTCAGAAAACGGATTCCATTAAGAGCCGTTAGACTACCTGCTGGAACACTGGTGTTAAGTAATTTGGCGCCATTTGTGTAGACAGAAAATGCCACTAATATGTTTGACATTCTTCCTGAATGTAGAAAGTGACTTAATTATGAATAAATTTCTTCCAGATTTGATCCATGCTGTTTGAAGTATATCTTGATATGTTGTTTAATGTACAGAGTAGTAGTTTTACAATGTGATAATTTCATTTTTCGAATGATAGGATAGAGCATGTTGTCATATTTTTGTAACATCAAAAGTGATCAAATCGTGCTGTATTTTAGTTTCTAACAGTAAACCAATGGCACGTCTTTTGTCAAGTCTCTGCTTAACCTAAAGGGTCAATAAAAATGTTAAATACTTAAAACATTATCGTGAAAAGTGTAATTAACGATTTATTAAAAACATTGTCAGAAAATGACACGATTAGTTTTGTTTAAATGATGATGTTTTGAAAATGAAGGTGTGTATAAGGATACGTTCATCTTCTGACGAAAACAAACTCGTCTTTTTAAACAAACAAGTAAAGATTTTTAAGTGTTAGAAAACAATATTAGATCACAGGTTTATAGATAGATATTTGGACACTTGGTGACGCGTGAAATACCAATTAGTTATTCTAAAGGATCATACCACTACGTCCTCGGTTATTTCCCTTTTTGATAACTTTTCATATATATTCGAAAAAATCAGCATATTGAGTCTGATTAATTGTTAATGAATTCGTTATACAAGTAGAGACTGTGGCTAGTTTATATGACACAGTACTCACCCAGCTCTTTTGGCTCATCTTTCACTTCTGTTGAGTTCTGATCACTGGATATTAGTTTTGTCTTTTCATTTGACTCTGGTCCAAACGTCGTGGTCGCTAATGTGCTTGGTAAAGCTGTGTCGACTCGACTCCAGGTACGTAATACACCACGAACAACTATCACGTCGTAAACTGTACCCACGATCATCATGGCGAGGATGAACCCACACAAAATTCTGAAAGTATGGAATTATAATAGCATACCTTCTTTCGGGATTTCTTTCTATGAAGCCAATTGGTCATTTATTTTTTTTTCTGTGCTGTAGCGAGGAATATTTCTGTTTATTTTTTTAATTTATCACGTTATGAATATATGGTGCTTATGTGTGGTATTCTGTCTGTAAGTGATGATACTTACACAGCGCCTACAGCCTTGTCATCGAACTCCAGGACTTTCTTCTTACAGTGTCCATTAAATGAAAATTTTCCAGGTTCAATCGTTTCTAGGGCTAAGAAACAGATTGAATTAAACATCTTACATTGTCCATAAAACAAAACTTTTCCAGGTTCAATCGTTTCTAGAGCTAGATAACACATTAAATTAAACATTAAACCGAAGAGGTGTTTTTCCTGTGAAGCAAATTACAAGTAACGCCCAGACTATCCAGGTGTTAGAATTTATTCTATAAAACAAAAACAAAACTGATAAAAAAAAAAACAAAACCAAAAAAAAAAAAAAAAAACGAAAAACTAATAGTTATAAAAAAGGATTAACGTCGACGTCAAAAGTGGTACTACTTCATAGATATATGTTGTAAATGACACTGATCACGTGACCATTATAATAAACAGTCAACAAGGCTATTTCATTTAAAGGTATCTACATCATTTAGATTGAAAAGTAATTTGCATATGAGAGTGAAATATGAAATACAGCAGACGATACACAAACTTGTGTCATTTACTCGGCAATGAATGCAAAAGTCTACAATTCTTAAAGTAACACTAAATTTTCAATAACAGTCTGATGACTGGTCAACAAAAAGTACAATATATATTACAATTTCAGCTGCTGCAATATCATGTCAAGCAATAAATGTTGTGTCGGTTTATGAGGCTGTATAAGTTAATGCTGAATTGATATCAAGGCCTGACCATGTAACTTAAATTTAAGAACAGATTCCTAATGCTTGTTACAGATATAAGGAAGGTCCACTGGAGTGTTACTGGAATATACAACACGAACCTCGTGAATCTTTAAAACATTTCATCTTATTGTTATGTTATTTAGCGGACGATCATTCTGCCTAAAAGGCGAATCTTATTATAAACTATGATAATGTTAGGGAAATATAAAACAATTACAGTTTGTATGTGTTATTGAAGAAAAAATATTCACACTAAACAAAGTATAACAAAAAACAAAATGCATTGGTATACCTGCGTTTGTGAGTGCCACAGCATCCGCCTCTGAACAGGAATCTGGTAAACACAGTCCAAGGTTAGCGTTTGGTAGTGGTATGTTCAGAATGCTCACAGGAACGCTAACTATACAGTACTTCCCATTAAAGTGTGGAGGCTTTTGACCGTATTCAAACTTGTCGCTCGTCACACTGAGGCACTCGTCGTAAGAACCAAACCATCCTTGGTTACCGTTTAAAATGTCACTCGGAGGCTTTCCGCCGGCGTCTATCACTAGAAAGTAATGGTTAAAGACTATATCTGTATTGTCTTTCTGTATTCCTGTCTATTAACTACAAAACATACGGTTTGTTTGCTAGCTGCGTTCTGGCTCCGCAAACAACCAGCCATTTTTGGCGGGCTAACCTTGCAGTAGCTCATGGCTACCTCACAACATACGTGTTACCCACGACATGCCACGGGTGTTTTACCCAATGACATAATAATGATATTACTTATAATGAATTAATTTATGGAGGATAGAATACAAATTTAGCCAAGGAGACAACAATGATAGAGCAGAATAGTTCATGGTCTCAGTTTCCTGAAAAACATGTCTTTACCGTTTATATAAGAACATGTAAATGGGACCTTAATTCAAACTAAAATTCCACACAACTGTGGCAAACCAGGAACAAAAGAGAGATTTGTACGGAGACTCCTGAAACGGTACAAGGAGAATAAGACCAGGTGTTCAGGAAGTGTAAGCGTCATCTGCTTCATCGACGACACCCACTATGTAAACCTTGGTCAATCCAAGTAAGTAATGTATGGTTCTCAAATGAGAACAAGGTATACAATAACAGAACCAACAGGCAAACTAACGAGCATCAAACACATCCAGCTTCATGTCGCACAAAGAAATAGAACATTTCCTAAAGAGATTTCTATGGCGACCATAATACTTTCCCATAATTTTCATCAGTATCTTTTGAACCCTTGTGTTACGTGTTTGACAGTTAGTAAACGACTTCTTGCATGAAAATCGTGATAATGGGAAACGGCTCTTGAATATCGAATCAACATGTAAAATACATAGGTAGGAGATGCAGAAATATTGCTATACAGAAATGGAAAATTCATAATACAGAAATTGCAATTCGTCTGAGCAATCACCCAAAATGCAAGGTACACAGTTTCCATTAAGAAAGAAAAGATTTTTTTTTATTTATCTCCAGCAGGTAAAACAATGGCGTTGTCAGACATCAACTGGGTCCTTGTGTCTTCCAAGAACTCGGCAAACATGATTCAGTAGATGTTATATATCTACTAGTTCAAAAAATTATGTGACATTTCGATGACGACTGTCACCTTCATCAGAAAACACCTCGATACTACACGCTTTGCACTGGTCATTTGTCTGATGAAGATGACACTGTCCATTGCCATCCTAGGTGATATCATTATAATGAATAGGAGGTAACACTTTATTATAATATTGTCGATTAAATTGGTGATATCAGTGATACCGCTTAACTGGAATAAAAGTAAAATAGCACTTCATAGTCAATGGCAATGACTAGTGCACCCTTTTAAATGCTTCGACTACGTGCTAATCTGAAAGGTTAACTATATTTGAGAGTCAATTTTTTTTTTCTCGGAAACTAATTTTCGAAATTCGCTAGGTTTCCGATATCTTTGATATCTGTACTAGTATATATATATATAAGCAATAGATCTGTCAGTGTAAAGTCGTAGATCATGCAGAAATAAATCTTATAACATTAATCTTACTTTTCAGCGCCCAAAGCTGCACCAACGTGGCGGAAGGGCCGATCATCTGGGTATCGTTGTAGCAAGTGTCCGAAACATTAAATCCACCGACAACAGCCCCTAAACCGGGCTTAGCCCGGGGTCCCGGGGATCCAGTTAATATTCTGTATGGATCAATTGAATCTTGGAACAGTCTTAGCTGGGCCGGGGATACTTTTAAACTGGAGGGTGAAAGTGGTGACCGATTTTCCTGCATATCGTAGATTTTCTTCATTCCTTCTATAAACAAAGTCTGGTACGACATATCTTCGACACTTCCGGTTCTTGCAATACATGTTAGGAGAAATACAATACATAACTTTGTAGTCGACGCTAACGCCATTCTTACGACAACTGGTAAAATATAAATGTACCGCACCACAACTGAAAAACAAACAAGATATATTTCACTGTTATGTATAAACTCTGTTAGGATGTTACATATCTATATCGTATTACGATAATATATCAAGATATAGCTTATCAATTAAGGTGGATATTGACCATATAAGGTAGATACTGCAGTAATATATATATATACATGATGTACATATATAGTGATACATGAATCATGTGTATTGAAGTGGTGTGTTCACGACAGTTGTCAACAATCTCATACTTATTTATCACGTGTTAGTTCTGATGATGTACCCGTGTACATTATGAGGTCCATATTGAGCACATTATATGTATATATATAATACTGTGACATTGGGACATTGTTCACCCGCTCAACGGCGCACTTTCGTGATATAGAGGTCGGCTTTTGTTTTTTTGTACCATGGTTGATTCGATATACAAGGGCCTGATACTATTATTACGATTTACAACCAAGAAGTAGTCAACTGACGGACAAACTCATAACACATTGGTTTCAAAAGATGCAGAGTGATGGAAATGATGTGGAAGTTTTATGGTCATCATATTGATCTCATTGCGAAATATTTGTTTTGTGCGATATGAATCTGGACGTGTTTGATGCTCGTTAGTTTACCTGTTGGTTCCATCGTATATAACTTGTTCTCATTTGATAACATGACCAATGTTTATATGGCGGGTGTAGTCGATGAAGCAGAAAACGCTTATTCTTCATAAACTCATGGTCTTATTCTCCTTGTTCTTTTTTTCAAGAGTCTCTATCCATATCTTTCTTTTGTGTATAGTTAGCCCTAGTTTTATGGAATATGAGTTTGAATTATGATTATGTTGACACGTTGGTATTTTCTTCTTGTTTTTTTATGAAGGAGTTCCTAGCTTCAAAATAAATTACCTTCACTAATGTAAAGGTGTAGGTCAATGGTCTTAAAATAAACCTTTTAACAACAGCCAAGACACCAACGGTCATATTGGTTGGTATGTTCAAGTGATATTTCATTTGAAAAAATATTTCAAGGTGACTTCTTATCAACCAAGAGGACCTGAGTTATGATATTAATAGTTGGGATGAAGCAATGACCTTGGTCAAACTCATCAAACGGACACTTTAAAGAAATCAATATCCCTAGAATTTCATTATTTTCCTCGCAATATGTAAAATTACTTGAAAGAATGTCATGTTTCTAATGATTCTGAGAATAATACCCCCTGTGAGCAATACACGCCCATCGGACCTTTTGTACGAACTTTTTAATTAGTACAAGCTGCTTTAAAATACAAAATAGCATTTACTTTCTGATATATATTTGTCAAACAACAAAACGGCATACTGGTTCCGTTAACATTACAATACATCATCATCATCATCATCATCATCATCATCACCATCATCATCATCATCGCTTCGAGTGAAATTTGGGGATCTAATTGAAACGAGGAAGATTATTATCCGCATTATGATCCGGTACTCAGAAGAAAGATTTCCACAAGATTCCTTTCTGATTTAGATTCCTTTCATTTAAGTCTGATAGTAATATTTTACTTCCATGCTCGTGTGAAAAAAAATCGCAAACTAAATGATTGTTCACATATTCATTCATAATAAGTTTGCAAGAATTTTTTTTTCTTTCATACCAGCATGAAACTGAGATATTTTCTATTCCACACACCAAGTCATTGAGTAAACAGACATTCCATTTATACGAAAAAGAAGTTCAAAAAGATCCGCCGCAAGGTGACGTGTTGCCACAGACACCTCCAATAATTACCAAGTGGGTGGAGTTAGATTTCTTTGCATTGGAAATGAAAAATCGACACATTTGAACGCTGCATATTGCGTAACAAACAACGCAAAATTAATCATATTAAGCTGAAAATTCCTTGGAACTTGAAATTAATTACAGTACCATAAAAGTGCTTACCATGGTGAGTAGTGCAATGCACTGTATGCATTACTGTTGTGCAACCTTAACATTATGTAACTCTCCTATGTGGAGTCAATAAAGTTTACTCTTCCTGCCGACATGTTTGGAGTCCGGTGTGGTTATTGCATGGTGTCAGAAGTTCCACCTTCATCGGCAAAGATAGACATGATATAGTCATCATATTAAGTCCTAATTACAGCTGAAACACTGATTCTCCTTTACACACCAGCGTTTAAGGAAGAATGGCAGGGAAAGGCATTAAAAACTTACCCGATTTCAACCCATCAGAAGCAGGGGCGCCGGAGTGGGAACTCTACAAGCGTGATTTTCTAATACATCTAAACGCTTTAGGACTTGATGATAAACCCGGCAGACGAAAGGTTGGTGCTTTGTTATCAAACATGGGCAGAGACTCAGTGAAAATATATGATTCATTTGTTTGGGCACCGGAAGTCCAACCTAACGAGGATGCTGGTATTCAGGCACGTGCTGCTGAAGATAAACATGACTTGAACACTGTATTCAGAAAGTTTGATCAGCATTTTGGTGTTCACACATACAGAAATATTAAAAGGCAAGAATTTCTAAACACCAAGCGAGAGGCAAAATCGATCATGGACTTTATTGCGACGTTGAAACGGAAGGCCGAACATTGTCAGTATGTGGAACAGACTGAGGGGCTCATATGCGACATGGTTATCAATGGCGTAAACGACAGGAAATGTTCAGAAAAACTTATGGAAATTCCCGTCGCAGATTTAACACTTGACAAAGTAATTCAAACATGCCGCCAAGTTGAGTTAACTGCAGCACATCTGAAGAATCTTGGGGCTGAAAATCCAAATGTAAACATGGTACACAGAAGTCGGGGACGTGGTTCGACTAGGCATAAGAGAGATAGCGAAAGGAGCTACAAGGGAGACCACCCATATTGTAAAAGCTGTTGTAGACATCATGAATATAAACAACGCCCTGCGTATAATAAATACTGTGACAACTGCGGTCAAAAGGGTCATTTCAAGGCATCCAGTGTTTGTAACCAGAAGTTTGACCGCGGTCGGACAAACCGTAGACCATACAGAGGTGCGGGTAGAGGACACAGGGGCACTGGTAGAGGACACGACAGAGGAAGTGGTAACAAAAAGGTACATTATACCGAAAACCAGGATGCCAGTCAGGACAATATCAGTGAAATATTTGATCAGTGTACTGTGCAAGATGTTTTCAAAACTGACGTGTTTAACATCAAACATCACAGCGACAATGACTGGAAAGCACATCTCGATGTTAATGGTCAAACATTAACAGTTGAAATCGACAGCGGAGCGCGATGTAATGTTTTGTCAAAGGACTCTGCGAGCAAATTTCTGTCAGATTCCCAGATCGAGGAGAGCGATGTAATTATAAATGGCGTTAGCGGCAGACCGTTGAAAGCGTGCGGAATGGTAACCCTCCCATGCGCGTACAAATCAGTCAAGCGACTGGTCGAGTTTCAAATTTTGGACACTGCGACCAGAGTAAATCTACTAGGTAGAGAGGATTGTGTTCAGTTTGGACTCATAGCCAGGGTAAACGAAGTAGAGCTAACTATGGAAGGGATATTCCGTAGCTACGATGACGTCGTAGGTGACCAGATTGGGTGCATACCGGGCGAGTACGAAATAAAGATAGACAAGAGTATTACACCGGTTATTCATGCGCCGAGACCAGTACCTGTTATCCTTCGCGAGCAAGTAAAGGCAGAGCTAGACAATCTGCAGAAATGTGGTATCATCTCTCCCGTGGAACATCCAACTGAATGGGTAAATAGCATGGTGTGTGTGAGGAAGAAAAACGGAAGAGTCAGAATATGCATTGACCCAGGAGACCTTAATAAGGCCATACTCCGTGAACACTATCCAATGAACAGTATTGATGATATTGTAACCCGCGTACACGGCAGCAAATACTTCTCAACCCTTGACGCTAACATGGGATACTATCAGATAAAGTTGTCAGAACAAAGTTCATTTCTAACCACATTCAACACGCCGTTTGGGCGTTACCGGTACCTACGTTTACCTATGGGTCTGAAATGTGCTGGAGAAGTTTTCCAACGCGAAATGATTACACAGTTTGGCAACCTGGATGGTGTTGAGGTAGTGGTGGACGATGTGCTGGTACACGGTAAGACAATTGAAGAGCACAATGCCCGTTTAGAGAAAGAGAAAGGTCCGTCAACCTCAAACTAAACAAAGACAAGTGTATATTGGCTAAACCAGAAGTCGATTATGTGGGTCACAGACTAACTGGAGACGGAGTCAAACCAACTCAGAAGAGAGTTGAGGCGATCATGCGTATGAGAGACCCGGAGAACCACAATGAGTTGGAAACAATTCTTGGAATGTTGGCATATGTATCAAAATTTATACCAAATTTGAGTGAGCTCAATGCGCCACTTCGTGAGCTGAAACAAGCCAAAGAGTGGGAATGGACGGACCAAGCGAAGGAAGCGTTCCAGAACATAAAGAACACGCTAACTTCAACAAAGGTATTGAGGTACTACGATGTACACAAACCGTAAGAGTGACTGTAGACGCGTCTATGAAAGGATTGGGCGCAGCGATCATTCAAGAGGATGGAGTTGTGGCATACGCATCAAGAGCCCTCACACCAGCTGAACAGCGTTACGCGCAAATTGAGAAAGAGATGCTAGCGGTAGTTTTCGGTTGCGAACGGTTTCACAAACTGCTGTACGGAAAATCTGACGTTACCATTGAATCGGATCATAAGCCGCTTGAAAACATTATGCGGAAACCGATACACAAGGCGCCGATGCGTTTGCAAAAGATGCTACTCAAATTACAGCCATATGAGTTTGAGTTGACATATGTTCAAGGAAAACACATAGGACTAGCTGACTGTCTCAGCAGACTACCGTTAGATGAGGTCGGTGAAAAGCCAATCGACGATGAAATGATGGTTCTGACTGTAGAGGCTCTATCGTGTGGTAACCATGACACGATTGCCAAGGCAACCCGAGAGGACAACCAGTTCAAGGTCCTCAAACAAGTCATATGCCAGGGTTGGCCACAGGATAAGGGAGATGTGCCTTTTGAAGCATTACCATTCTGGGACTATCGTGACGAACTTTCTACATACAACGGAGTTGTATATCGTGGGGAACGTGTGTGCATTCCTACTGACCTGAGGGCGGCAACCCTCAAAACAATTCATAGTTCACACTTGGGGATCGTCAAATGCAAACAGAGAGCCAGGGAATTAGTTTTTTGGCCTGGCATGAATAAGCAGATAGAGGACGTTGTAGGTAGATGCAGTGCATGTCTCACGTACAGGAACAAGATGCCCAAGGAACCGATGATAATCCACCCTGTGCCATCACTCCCATGGAGCAAGATAGGGACCGATCTTTGCGAGCTCAATGGCAAAACCTACCTGGTGCTAGTTGACTATTATTCCAATTTCATTTAGGTAGCACCACTTAAAGATACTAGGACAAGTACAGTCATTAGACACATGAAGGAAAACATTGCCCGTTACGGAATCATGGACACTCTAGTCAGCGACAATGGTCCACGGTATTCGAGCGCAGAATTCAAGGCATTCACGTCTGTCTATGGAATCAACCACCTTACGTCATCTCCATTACATCAGCAGGCAAACGGATTGGCGGAGAAGGCAGTCCAAATGGTGAAAAACATCATAAAGAAATGCACAGAATCCGGGGATGATATATATTTGAGTTTGTTAGAACTACGTAACACACCGCGCGATGAGGAGACAGGTTCTCCAATGCAGAGACTGATGGGAAGACGAGGGAAGACTCTCTTACCTATTACACCGAATCTCCGGAAACCTCAAGTTCCTGACCCGAGTAAGGTGACATCAAAACTTGTGGCTCACCGCCAACAGCAGAAATATTATTATAACTGGAATACGAAGGACAGGAAAGAAATCGGACCTGGTGACGCGATTCGTATTCAAACCCCTTCAGGGTGGAAACCTGCCGAAGTTGTAGGGAAAGCAAGAACACCACGATCATATATCGTCAAAGCAGGCGACAGCGCGAGAGAATACAGGCGCAATACAGAACACCTCATGAGAACGCGTGAAGAACCGCACAAAATCGTCGCGAATGAACCAAAGGTCGCGCAGCCATACAGTTTAGTGCCAGGAAACCAAAACCCAAAGATACGTGTAGCACCAGACAGTTCGAGAAAGGACGCGATCGGTTCAGGATATGCGCCGTGTAGTCCAAGAAGAGACAGTAGCACAAAATGTGTTAACCCTCCAAGGGATGTGCCAAAGGTCGCGAAAAACGAGATCCGAACGCGGTCGGGACGCGAGAGTCGGAAACCAAAATACCTTGATGACTTTGTAGGGATATAGACTCATTGAGTGTACTGCACGCGAGTGACTCATTGACATATTATCCATTAATAATAGTTTGTGTTGACAATTTGGTAGTTTAGCTTAATTTAGTTGTTTTATATATGACCAAGTCTAGTCAGTTATGTTTTATTTTGGTATAGTTGTGATAATTAAGCACTTAATTGACAGGTTGAGGTCATGGACAGGTTCAACTTCTGTAGGCATACAAAATGTACAGTGAATAGGGATATAAATGTGCTGATCATTTTTTAATTCCTTATAGACCAGTATTGAACTATTTTTTTATGTAATGATAACAGCAATGTCTGATGTTAAAAAATATAACGAAAGAGGATGCAATGTACTGTATGCATTACTGTTGTGCAACCTTAACATTATGTAACTCTCCTATGTGGAGTCAATAAAGTTTACTCTTCCTGCCGACATGTTTGGAGTCCGGTGTGGTTATTGCAAGTAGTAAGGCTGTGTCATTGCAGGAGTTAAATTAAATAAACTTACCCTCTATATAAATCATCATCGTCCCTTCCCCATCTAAAGAATTTGTTTGAATAGCCGTTTATCATTTCATAATGTTCCTTTGTTATTGCAGTTACACCACCTAAGATATTCATATATGGTAAACTAACAAACAACCTTGAATTCATGTCATATTTTACAGATGAAGCTTACGTCGCCAAGAGATCTTGTTGCTATCAGTACAAGTAACCACAACTTTCTAAAAAACACCACACTTTTAGATAAAATTAGGTTTCATTTTAAATATCTTAACGCCGTACCAAAATCTATGGTCGTTTAATTGTAATAGTTCTTCATATCAATAAAGCCTTCATATAAAATGGTACGTTGTGATGCTGTACAGAAATGGTGGGAAAGTAAGTAAATATACTCATTAGCTGTCTTGATGTTTTTGTGGCTTTGTAATGATGAATTTAACTGGCGTTCTTCGGAAATTATCAGATATATAAAACTTTGTATTAAAGTGTCCTATAAGGGACTAATTCGTTAGACATTAATTTCATAACTAACAAAGAAAAACATTATAACATTTAAATATATGTAAAGAATTGTGTACTTTCTGTTAATTATGATATTTCAAAGTTTGCATAACCATTTTATTAGCAACGTCAAAACATTAAGATAAAACGTAAACGACCCTACACTAAATCATATCAGTATTGTTCGGAGAGTGTAAACAATGTTTTTGCGCATGCCATTTCAGATTAAGATAAATTCTAATTCATTTATTTCCCTCTGTCACGCGTATAGCGTGAAACAAGAGATCATTTTACAAAGTAAGAATTGAAACATGTCTGGCAAATTAAGTTTTGGCTATTTACATGATTATACATAGTAAGAAATAATATTAACTAATAAAGTTAAAACGACTCTCCGAAAGGTCACGGGATGAAGTCGGCTATCTCCGATCAAAACGAGTGTCGGCTAGTGTTAGTTTGAAGCTGATAATCTTTATTAATTTCTCTCAGAGAGTGTTATATTATTGTGAAGATTCTGATTTGAAGTATTACAATGGTTGTCCGAATAAAACGCACGGGGAAAAACTAACGAAAGCTAACCATTTAGTCCTTTCAACAAAGTTTGAATGCAGAATACAACGGGTATCTAGCGACGGTATTGTATAAATATCTATGACGATGTGGTTTACTGTTTGTTGTATATTTATAAAGGTTCACTTACGTAACTGCTTTGATATAACTGACTTTTTCATTGCCAGTGATAAGATGTAAATGACTGTATATATCTGTTCAGGGCCATAACAGCACAAACGAGTGGTAGATGAACGAAACAGCTGCATAATGCTATTGTTGGTGTATTCAACATTAGCTTGTGTTTGGTAATATCATTTTTATTTTTGTACATAATAAAGATATTCAATTTTGTTTTCTGATTATTTGTGAGAACTGAAAATTACTTCAAACACTACGAAGTAAATCATTCTCCCTTCCCTAAGAAATGTCCATTTTGGGAAGATTATACAATGATATTGATATAAAACAAAAAAGTCAAGGACCGTGTGCCTTTGGTAGATATGGACAGTGTTGACAGAGTTCCGATACAAATGTCATTTTCCATATGGAGTCCAGGTTTGGTGTTGCTATTGCCTGATGAGTTACATAAACCCTCGAATATAGATCGCATGTTATATCTATGAAGTAACCAATTTATACGAATACTTTGAAATTACTTACAGTGCCATGTAGGCACACCTGTGACTAATGAACCGCAAACGTATAGTGCACGTGTAGGTAATGTGAACGCCATGCGCGCGTGTGTTACATAAGGAGAACTGATCGTAATCTGTTTACATGTCCTACACGAACCATACCCCTGTATCTTCTAAGAGAGCATTACCATCTTCCCCGACACCATCTCCAATCATCAGAAACAATTAAAAACAAAAACATTTATCATTTGTCTCGTCCTCATTATCCGACAGTGTGTTTGGATTCGACTTATCCTCCCCGATGATCAGTGACAAAAAGACTTACCCTGTCCTCCAGCAGGTAATCCAGCAACCCCAACCAGGCTTTCTACAGACGTCCTTCACCATGCTTTCAACCCACCGATCCCGTGGGCGCGGCATTATCGGATACCGATGTCCAGAGGATCGCCATGGCGGTCCGAGTCCACATACTCAGCAACATGCAGACTATCCAGCAAAATCTGCAGCTCTCCGTACAAAAACATATTGCTCCTTTAGTAGAAAAGTTTACCAAATTCGAGGTTGAGAATGACGATCTTCGACACCAGCTTAACGACATGGAGTAGTATGGAAGGAGAACCCTCGTGCGCTTCTCTGGTTTCCAAGGCAGGAGAGGAC